ATCGAGCACTGCTCCACGAGCATTGGCCAATCGCCGTCGAGCATCGTGCACCCCCGACAAGACGGGTTACAGCGCCTGACGTCGCCATCGACGTCGCCTGACAGGCCGCGCTGTCGGTCGACGTGAGTGGTAACGGGTTTCGCAACCGGCCGACGGTCACAATCGACGGCGCCGTCAACCGCGGTCGATCGATCACTTCGACGGTCGAGCGAGCCGTCGCTGTCGGACGGGCGACAGGTTACGTAAGTCGCCATCAAATGGGGTCACTTCAACAGATGACGGCCACTTCAAAGGCCAAGGCCTTGAGGACACCTGTAAGGGAAGGGTTATAAGCCCAACAACGATTTAAATAAAATCCTAAACTAGGAGCAACAGTAACATCGTTTTTGTCAGTTAGGCCAGCGCTACGGCAATGAGAGCTTTCGGGTAGGCACTGATGGAGAACGATCCGTCGAGGACAACGCCTTTGCGGCAGGCAGCAGTAGGACCGCTACCTGTCGACGTTGAAACCATCTCGACACAACCCCTTACGACGTCACAAGCCATACCGGGCTCGACACCGCCACCCTCGACGTCACGAGCCATACCGGGCTCGACAGCTCCACAATCGACGTCACGAGCCATACCGGTATCAACAGCGCCACCCTCGACGTCACGAGCCATGCCGGTAGTGGTTCAGCCGGTTGCGACGGATCAACGCTCGACGGACCGTGTCGTCAATGTCGAAGTGGGGGGGGGGCACCGACCGAAGTCCCTTCGACGGCGCAATCCATACATGTAGTAGTAGAACCGATTTCGACAACAACCCCTCCTTCAACACCGGAAGCGACAAACCAGCCGTCATCATCTTCGGCACCACACCGTTCGACAACACCAACGGAACCAGTAGCCGCTGTCCCGAGCTCGATTGGTGGGCGACGTAGGAGAAGGGGTACGGGTGTTCCGGCTGAGGTTAGGCCACCACCCCCAGCCGGTACATCCGCTTCGCGAGCCACTTCCGCCGCGCCTATGCGCTCATCGAAAAGACCCAGCAAAGCGGACTTATCCAGCCACGTCCCTGCAGAGACGAATGATGACGACGATGAGCAGGGAGAACAGCCCGAGGCGGACGATGTCGAAGAGGTGGACCCTTTGCGCCCTGCCGCGGCAAATATATCAGAAGAGGAGGCAGCCCACATTCTCGGTGACGAACAGGGCGAAGAAGATCCGTACTTGGCGACGGGAACACTCAAAAGTGCGATTCACCGTTGTCGGCTTCCGCTGCTGGCAATCGACCAGGATTCTACTCGGCCAAACTACGTCTCGGGTTTCATGCATTTCAAGGCTTGGGCCTGTGCAACCCTGGCGCCCGGAAAAAACAAGGTAGTGCCGGTCGAGGAGCAGGTGATCAACGAGGACGAGGTCGGGAGAGAGATCGGCAAGGATTTAGGGAAGGGGTGGAGGGCGGCACTCCTTAACAAGGAGCATCTGCATGGGACTTGGACGTTGAAATGGCGGTTGCGGGCTTACGTTGAGTACATGTCGACGGAAACGGACGAACAGGCGGCTTCCTTGGATACCGGGCGGACCAGAGTAGCGGGACGGAAGCCGAAAAAATGCACCCCACCGATGATGCTGGCGCGCCTAACTGCGCTAGGGTGCTTGTGCAAAGTAGAGGCCATACTCTTCGACGAACCACTCACAAAACCGATGGACGACATCACCGAGGCTAGGCAGCTACTAGCGGTCAAGCTGCGACAGCTGCACGACTAACAGTTCGAGTAAGTTCGCTTCCCTACCCCGTCGACTACAACTTCTCACTCACTTTCTCACTTATGAATTGCTGTATCTGCCCACTCTATGCAGGAGCTGCGTCGACCCACACCGTGGCTCGCTCGACGATGTCTACACGGAGGATCAGTTCCGCATTCTCGTTTCAGACATCCTGCCGCACTCGGCCAAGGTGTATTTCAGGTCGTCGATGGCGTACCCCAGTCTGACGCTGTGGAAGGCCTTGGCTGTGAGGGTGATGATTCTGATGGCGCATCACATGCTGGGCAAGGGGATCAGCATCCGTACGATCCGCTACTGCAACATGTTCACCCACGTCCTTCTGCCCATCACGAACAGCCCGGGGGAATCGTCGATCCTCGTTCTCGTGGTCGCCTATCGCAATTCGAAGACCGTCAAAGACAACAAGCTCGGCCACTTGTACCTGAATCGACACATGGACTTCCAGCAGTGCGGCTCTGGAGCAGTTTTCCTCTAGCTACACTTCCTTTTTGACCTCGTGCCGCTCTACTACAACAACGCGAATATCGTGCCCCCCTTGGATTTTTCAAACCCGGAGGCATGGTCGAAGAAACACCTGTTCTTTGCCCTCTTCGACAAAGAGAAGACAGAGATGCCGTACCCGACGCACAACAGATAGGTGACATGGGCGATAAATAGCGCGGTGTGGATCCTGTCGAAAGTCACGCACATCTTTCGACGGTCTGCGGGACAGATACTCGCGAACAAGAACGAGATGCGACATGAACGAGATGCGCAGGTCATACGTCACAGGCATCCCGCGCCCGGCCATCCAGATGCAAGCGGGTTTCTCGCACGAACCGGGCGACTATTACATCGGAAGATCGAAGACCAAAGTGCCCCCGAAGGTCTTGAAGGCTATCGAGGAGCACATATTTCCTAAGGCGGAGCTGTGGCTCATCGAGGTATGTATCTTTCGAGCACTTGGCATCTTCGTCGAACGCAAGTTTTTCTCGCCCATCCATCTCTCGATGTCACCCCATTCGTTTATGTTCAGGCCCAGAAGTGGAACAACGAGCAGGATAAGGAACATATGTACTACGCAGCGAAGAGTTTCTTGGAGGCCCTGTTAGCTGCCCGAATGCCCATCGTAGAGGATCTTGCGATGTACTACGTCCATTGTGAGGACGACCCCTTCGACGGGGTCAGCATTTGTGACTGCGAGCGTCACCCTTACGCCCAGATGTCGGGTTTGTGCGAGGACGAAGATTTCCAAAAATAGGCGCTCGACGTGTACACGCTCGACAAGTACGGCATCGAGATGCGGACCAACCCCACGATGTCGAGAGCGACGGTAAGATGGTCCTTCCAAAACTATAAGCGACGACTTTGCATCAGCCCACTGACTGCACGTGTTCTTGCGTGCATGACGTATCCTCTCACCTCAACACCAAGCACCTCATCATGCAACTTCGGGCCGAGATAAACCTCCACAAGGAGGAGGGAGGGAAAAAGGAAATCCAGATCAACCACCTCGAGAAGCAGGTCGAGTCATTGGAGCGGGAGAAGAGCTCGATGAAGGCAGAGTTGGAGGCAAAGGCAGAGGCGTTCGCGCAACTACAGAAAGCGTTCGATGCACTGAAGAATACCGCGGCGACAAGCGCAGCTGCAAATGTGGGGGAGAGCGAGAACGTGCCACAGACCGCAACCGAGGAAGCCACCCTGACTCCACAGCAAGCCCAACAAGCAACGCCCTCTCGACAGAGCGTCGGCAGCCAGCTCGACCAGGCATTCTTCGACGTGGTGGTGTGGCCGTGGTGCAATTGCGAGACCGTGCGGAAGGCGTGGTCGTACTGGGACGGGCCAAGCCCACTGAACAACGGGCATAGTCTTCGACAGGCTTACAAGAGGGGCTTCGCCTTCAAGTTCTGCAAGTTCACACCGACTCCACCCCCCGTAACCCCCGAAAAAGAGGCCCAACCAAAAGAAAATCCACTAATCGCAAAAGCTATCGAGACAAAATAGCGGAAAATGGAGACTGTCATGAAGGCCGTCGAGCATTTCCGGATCGACGACAGCAGCGCGGCTACGTCGACGGTCATAAAAAAGCTGGACTCAATTGTGAAGGGCCACTCGATCAACATGCTTTCGGAGGGCATCGTTCTCAAGGAGGATTCTGGGAGGCAGCTCACGAAAAAGCGCAAAGTCGAGTATGCAGAGGAAAACCGGAAGGACAAACAACGCCTCAGAATCACCCTGGAGCTCATTCGCGTCGAGATCCGAACCGCAGAATGGGTGGAGAAGGTGTTCGGCAAGGAGAAATGGAAAGAGTTCACGGCAACAACTGGAGCGTGGCCTTGTTCGACAGGCAACCGTGACGAGGGGGGACCCTAGTGTAGGTTGTTCTTTCAGGGTTTACATGGCATCTTCCCCTAATGCATGTTGTGACACCATCTCGACAAGATGAACCAATTGAGCATTATCGAAAACATAAAGTCAAGGAACATCAAGCCAAAACATTATGTCGATCAAGCTATCGCAATGCGCCCACCTATACTACTCCCCTTGCCAGCCTGTTTCCGCCTCTGTTGCCTCCTCGTCGCCCAGCTTCGCCTTGCTCTTTTCTTCTGGCATAGCCAGGCTCCCATAGCCCGCGTCCTCCAGCAAACGGGCAGAAAATCGAGAGCAGCACCATTGAGTACATACTTGTGCTGCCACGCGCACCATCCGCAACAGGATGGCGTCAGTCGAGCCGAGGCCTTCGACAGCTGACGAATATAGCAGATCGGGTCACTGCTTGGCCGGGAACGTCTTACCGACGTGCAAAATTACGGACAGGACCGCGGCCATGGCAGCCGCACTAGCCCGTGTCGCCATCTCCGGGGCGTAGAGCGCTGCGTTTGCGGCAGCTAGGGCATCCTTCTTAATGTCTTCCATCGACAACTTCCTGCAGGCCGCCTACAAGCTTGCCACAGTTGCTGCGACGGCCATCATGTGCACAGTCCCGTGCATGTTCTTCGGGACCGGATAAAGCAAGTTCCCGTGCTTCTGGCCAAGCGTCGCAACCTTCCCAATCGCCGCGCACAGCGCAATTCCCCAGTCAGTTCTGGCTCTCTCTTTCGTATTTTCCGTTGCCAGCAGCGACCGGAAACTGCAAATCGAAAAAGTTGCGTTAGTTTGACGGCACGACTTCGACAAGAAATCCGACAGCACTTCGACGGAAAGAACAAAACCGCTATGACAGTCAAACTACAGGACTTCGACAGAACTCACTCGTCGAAAAGACATTCCCCTTGTTCTTGCGCCACGCTCCAAACGCCGGTGGGCATACCAGCGGCTGCATCGAGATAGACCTTCCAGTCCTTCTCATCCTGTGCCGTGAACCCCTCGTACTCCTTAAGGTCTATGCCGGGGAAGTACACGCGCCAGCAGATGGCCGTACAAAACTTTTGGTCCGCCTCCGTTTCAGAAGTGCCTAGGAACCGCTTCCTCAACCTTACGGTCTGCTCGGAAACCGGCTTCCCCTTCCGCGACATCATGCGCGGTCCTTTGAAGGGAGCTTTGCAGCCTCTCGTCTTGCCTTGGTCGTCCAGCGGAGGAGGTGGGGCGTAGTCGATCACCTTGGGCTTCTTCGACTTTTCGTGTCGAGCAGCAACGACGGTAGATGCCTTCTCGACGTCACTGCTCTCTGTCGCCTCTGCAGCGCGCTTCGTCGACTTCGTCACAGCCTGCCTTTTCTTTGACGCAGATGGGGACCTCGACCTCGGACCAGGAGGAGGGGAACTCGGTTCGCTAAGGCAGACGTTGCCTAGCACGGACGATGGCCTCTTTCCCACAGGCTCGACTGGATGGCCAACAATACCGAGCTGCGCAGCTGAGTCGGCCTTTGTCTTCGAAGGCAACCCAGCAGCGACGATGACCTAGCTAGGAGCACCCCGTTTCTCCCCCGCTCCTTTCCCCGCAGCGCCGCCAAACGGGGTAGGGTCACCTCGCTTTTCCACGACTCCTTTCCCGGCCGAGGCGACGGATTCGATTGGGGCACCACTTTTCTCCCCCGCAACCACTCCTTTCCCACCCTTTTTCCCGAGGCCCTGCAGCATGTCCCGCAGCAGAGCAAAGGCATCAGGCGGAGGCTTCGGTGCTGCTTCAGAGGTCTTCTGAAGGGGCGACCGGTCGAGTACGATGACCTCGTTGTCCTTGACGGACTTGCCGGCATTCTGACGGGCACGCGAAGGTGGGGATGCTACCAGGCTGCCGACATGTCCTCCCACCGAAGAAGGAGGAACCGAGCGCTCATGAACTCGATGCTCAACCCCGCTGCGAACACCAGCCACCCCCTCCTCCTGACGCGACCTCGTCAACGGGCCCGCCGAGCCCCGAAACCCTCTCGCCACCGCTTTGGTGAGGACTTCCAATCTGCTAGCTTCAGCTTCTTGGTAGCCTTCTCTCACAACGTCCTTCAGCTCCTTCATGCTCTCGAGCGGGAGGGTGGAGTAGAACAAGTCCTCCTTGACGGCTTTCTCAATACCCTTCACGACCGAAGAAACCAGCCGCTCCTCGACAAGCTTGAGCTGCTTCTCGACGGCGTCCTCGCTCGCTTTTGTGATAGCGGCTGCCACCCCCTCGATGATTTTCCCGCTCATCTCGTCGAGCTTCGTGCGCGCCCCTTCCAACAGCTTCCTCTCCTCTGTGACACCGTTTACGACATCGCCGCACTGCTTCAGCGTGCTCTTCGACGACTCCGGAATCATATTCCAGGCCGTCCGAAAATCCTCAGCAAGCTTGTTGAAAACAGCGGCTTGCTCACTGTGCTTCACAAATACGTCGGCGACGAGCTTCTTCTGCGACGCCTCGACCTCCGCGACCCTCTGCAGTAGCTCGACGACCTGGCCTCCAGATGCAATGGCCGACGTCGAAGGGCCTGCCTGTCTGCTGCCACTGGCCGTGCGGTGACTTCTTACTGCGACCTGTCGCTCCTGCGCAGCCTCCCTGCCCTCCTGCTCCTGCCCTCCCGCCCCACCCTCCTGCGCAGCCACCACGCCCTCCTGCTGCTGCCCTCCGACCCCACCCTCTTGCGCAGCCACCCCGCCCTCCTACTGCTGCACTCCTGTCCCAAAATCCAGCACAGCCGCCCTGCCCTCCTGCTGATGCACTCCTGCCCCACCCTCCTGCGCAGCCGCTCCGCCCTCCTGCTCCTCGACATCCCCATCGTCCCCCGTCGCCTGCTGCTTGATATGCTTCACCCGCTCGTCCACCCGCTCCCCGAGCGCCACTCCGTGCTCCTCCGTACGCTCCGTCCCACCTGGATGTTCTCCTGCGCCCTCGCCGTCGTGCTCAATCAACTCATCGCTCGAGCTCGAGTCGGAGCTCGATTCCAAGCTCGAGCCCTCCTGCTCATTTGCATTGCCGCCCGGGCCGCTCACCCTGTGCTGAGCTTGCCTCGATGTATCCTCCTCGATCTCCTCCTCCTCCTCGTAGCTGTACTTAACCACGACGCGTGGCACCCCCTCGCCTCCTCCCTTGTGTTTGGCACCCCCTCCCACTCCTACTCCCTCCGCCGCCTCGTCCATCCTTTTCCAAAATAGTTTGACCATGAACGACGGAAGCATACCCGGGCCAGGGCTCGTTCTCCCGAGCATCACGAGGTCGCCCTGTGGAGGCTGCAGGATGAAATTGTTCCAGTTCGACAGAATCCGGCGCATCCCATGCACGACACGAGCTGCCGCACTGGGTTCACTGGGGCTCGTCAAGGCCGTCGTCGTCTGCGACGAGTATAAAACACACATAAGCGACAGAACAACATGCTCGACGAAAACATGCACGAGTAAGGGTAAGGGTTGGCTTACCAGATGATCGAAACTCGTGATCATGTCCATACGCAGGTCGATGAGGCTAAGCACCCCCTGATCGTGCTCGGCCACAACCCGCTGGGTCGTCGCGTACTCGGCGCGAAGCTGCTTCTTCATCCAACTGCAAAGCAACGGACAGGAGAGTAAGAGATTGTCGAGAACTGCAAGTCGACAGCAGGGTGGCAAATCGGTCACTCACACGAGAACTTCATGCGCCAGCAAAGATTGGTGGTTCACCATGGGAAACCTGTCTTTCGAATCGAAGTGCATCATTCGAGCTCGACAGCCATGGTGCCTCGGAGCCAGTAGATCGTCGGGGCGCGATACCACAAACAGGCCCGAGTGGGAGAACGACGCCATAGTAAGGCTGCATTAAGAGCGAATGCACGTGAGCACGGGTTTAGTACTAAACACGGAGCACGCAAGGCGACGGGATAGTGTCGAACTCACGTGGTCCGCAACAGAACGAGAATCACTTGCTTGTCGAGCAGGCCGTCGAGGTGGTTGTTCGCAAAAGCGACCGGTGTGGGACGCGCCATCTCTTCATGCGCACGCGTCGAAGTCACGATCGACAGCTTGGCGAGCTGCTCGACAGACAGCAGCTCCCTTGAAAACAGGTTGCACGGAAAGCTAAGGCATAGTCGGCGACAGGTAAACATGGCAAACCGAAAATGCTCGACAGGAAACGGACACAACGCCCACGTTCATCATCATCTCATCAAGCTCCGCCTTGCTAAGCGCATTCAAATGGTCTTCGAACATCTCCACCTCGATCCCGCCTGCGGTTAGGATGAGGCCGCGTCGAACCGTCGGCTCGTTCACGACGGGTAGGGAGGCGGGGCCCGTAGCCATGGCAGGCCTAGCAGTAGGGAGGGCGGGAGCACAGGGAAGTTGGGAACTAGGGAGTAGGGAAGAAAAACTCGGAGACTGCAACAAAATGAGAACGCACCCAGGGTATTAGCTGTTTGCCATCCCCTCCACCGAGACAGACTCGGGTGCAAGGGCGACGAGGCAGGGCACGTTCCGCGACGACGGTAGGAGGAGCTTATGGCAGAGGGCAGCGGGGCCCTCTTGGTGGTTGGTTGCATGAGGTGGGGCGCCCTGCATGCAGCTGAAAGGCACCTTTCAAGGAGCGGGAGGGGGCGTTCGACACATCACCAGGGTCGAGCGCCAAACGAAACGGGCCCGTCGAGGGCGAGAGCGGTGGAGCGCGGCGCAGATGGGCATCGCTTCCGTCCACTCGCGAAAATTTGCGGACAGGTTCCATCGGCGAGGCGACGCCCGGCGAGGGTTCCGTGGGTTACCGGACGGAACCTGTCTACGAACCGAGGGTGGGGTTTGGTTCGGTTAGGGGGGACCACTGCCAGCTCGAGGGCGCGTGTCGCTGGCATCATCGGCAGCTGGCGCCAGCTGGGGGTGCCCGTTTTCGGGTGGGGGGGGAGGGAGGGGAGGGGTCGGCTCCCGCCCCCAGGGAAATCCCGCAGGGGCAAAGGGGGGCCTTCGGAGGGATTCGGGTGATATCTTCCCCGTTCAAGCCGCCGTGATCAATGCTCGAATATGTTAATTTGGTATCTTAGCCAATGTGCATGAATAAGCACCTTACAGGTGCATACACATGTCTTTTAGGTTAGATCACAAATTATGTCATTCATTGAAAGTTCCGAAAACTTTTCCTGCAAGTAGTTCCATAAGATCGAGTGATACTGGAGTAGTAGCCATGAAACAAGTATTAGATCACATCGAGTTACAAAAACCATGAAGTGATAATGGAAGGAATCGGACTTTCAACATATAGGGCATCTTAAACCAATCCAACAGGAGTTTTTAGTTGATGCAAAGCTGAATTCTCACCCAACTGAGTTCTATCTTTGGCAATTTCCAGACTGCATCAGCGCTGGACCACATGAATAGATAAATTTCGTTTTACCTCTGCCGCCTGTAGCCTCCCTCGTACACGAATGATCAGTGCGGCTGGATGAGTACAAGACTTGCGATTAACCAAAGCCGATAAGCACGGCTGTACATGCGTCAGCTGGTAGAAACAAGGTCGTGATAGGCGTAAGCGGACATGGCTCCATCAGCGGCATCACTACCGTCAGCTGCAGCAGTGGAGCAGCACCACGAGAGCTTTCGGCGATGCGTGGACGATTGGGATTCTCGCGTGTCGGTGTTGACGCACCAGGTATATGCAAACCCGTTATACGCACACTGGTTTCGTGCACCTCCTCCTTTACGTATCTGCACACCTTTCGTGCATATGTCCGACTTCGTCAATGCATATCCGTTTTCTCTTCCCACATCGATTCCAATTTTGTTGTTTTCCTGTCAAATCCTGCCACTGTGAGTCCTTGTGCATCTTTATCAGTGTATCAATCTCTGTCAATATTTATCATCTCGCATCGTCTTACACCACTGCTTTCCGCAATAACACAGCCAGTCATTTATCAGTTGCTCCATGTACCGTATAAGATTCCCATTTCATTCCAGAATTATCCTTGGGATCAACCCTTCTGACACTTGTCCAATGTCCAGTTGCAGTCTCGGAGCCAGTCTGCACGTGAATTAGACAGCTGGCGCGACGTGATTGGCGTATCTGCAGAGCCATGGGGCGGAAGGAATTCTGCTGCCGCATCCACAGCAGCTTCTGTAGTGGCCTCGGCAGCAGCTGCACCAGCAGAAGCAGAGGGGTCGGCACGAGTGTCGCCAGATTCGTTGAATCTGCTCATTCAACACATCTCGTCCAAATGCTGTGCCATATACGATGCAGAACAGGAGGTGTGCGTGTGTGTGTGTGCGTGCGTGTGTGTGTGTGTATGTGTGTGTGTGCGTGCGTGTGTGTGTGTGTGTGCGTGTGTGTGTGTGCGTGTGTGTGTGTGTGTGTGCGCGTGTGTGTGTGTGTGCGTGTGTGTGTGTGTGTGCGTGTGTGTGTGTGTGTGTGCGTGTGTGTGTGTGTGTGTGCGTGTGTGTGTGTGTGTGTTTGGTACACTTGTGACGATGTGTGGTGAGGGGAGTGCCTGTGGGGGTGTGTATATGCACAAAACCTTTCTAAATAAGGATAGTCTGCCCGTTTTGTTCGTATTTCTCATTCCTCATCTGCTCCCCACCCTCGTTTCTGCCTCTTGCCTCACTTCCCCTGCTTCTTTCAACCCCTTCCTGCCCCCTTAACCCTTCCTCCTTCTCCATCCCCCCTCCTCCATTTCTCCCTGTTTACCTCATCCTCTGCAGGTCTTACATCGGTTGCTGCCACGCCTGCTGCTATTTGGGAAATCTCCCGCCGTCACCCCCCACTCCAGTGCTACTTCTGAGTTCTCTTCCTCCAACGCAGCATCCTCTGTTGTGGGGGAAACGATAGCTGATCAACACGAGGATGGGGATGCGGGTGAAGATGGGGCTAGTGATGCGGAGGATAGGGGGGATAGGGAGGAGCGGGAGGGCAGGGATGGAGACGGTGGATCAGAGGAGAGTCAAGAAGAGAGAGATGTTAGTAGAGGTTTAGGAGGACCAGCTGAGGCGAGAGGTGAGGGTGGTAGAAGCAAGAGTGACAGACCTCAAGGTGATGGCAGCGAGGGGGGGCGGGATAGATCCGAGGAGGATTCAAAAAAATGCGAGGAAATTGATTCAGTGGAAGAGGCTGAAGAGGCGGGCTGGGAGGGCGGGAGTGCAGTGGAGGAGAGAAGGGAGGGAGGGGGAAGGGAGGGAACGGGAGGGGTGGAAGGGGAGGAGCAGCAGCGGGTGGCGCGTGTGTTGGTGGAGCTGCAGGCGCTGGTGCTGGTGGGGAAGGACCTTACTGCCACTATGGAGGAGCTTCTAGTGCTGCTCGTGGCGCTGGTTGGAGGGGAGGATGGGAGGGGCGCAGGGTGGGATGGCGGATTGGCAGGTGGATTGGGAGAGGGGGGGGCAGATGAGGGGCTCCAGGGGTTGCTTCGTTCTGATTGGTTCAAATCAACCGAGTACTTTGCAGTGCGTCGTGATGCAGTCCTATATAACATTTGCCGACTGAAACAAGTTAGCCTCTGTTTCATCTACTCATCCCCACACCTAAGGAATCACGGTTGTTTCCCCCACCTACTCTTACCTACTGATGGGTAGGCTGCAGGGGCGCCTGTGCTCTTGGTAATCGAATCCACACTTGACCCTTCTCTGCTCGTTTTTGCGTTCTAACCTATGGTACCCCTGTCTGCTAACCCGATCCATCTTGCTACCCTCTCAGCCGGCACTAGACGCGCTCGCAGCAGGGGCGGCTGTGCTCTTGGTGATTGACTCGGCACTTGCTGCCAACCCTGCTGTTGCCCGGGGGATTGCTGCTTACAACAGGTGTGTGGTGGGGTGTGTGGTGGGGTGGGGTGTGTGGTGTGGTGTGTGGTGGGGTGTGTGTGGTGGGGGCATTCGCACATAGACGCTGATCATTCTTGACTTCTGTCAGTGCCTTGGTCCATTCCTCACGTCCATTCTCTCTCCATGCATGCCCCATATCCACCACACCCCTCGGTGTCAGAAAGTGTAAGCGAGAATGAATGAACTAGCAGCAGGATGGGTACAAGTACTAACCATAATTTGGGTTGTACCCCATATGGGCTACCCCACTACAGCTTACACAACCTGCAAGATATAAGTTTGACACACCCCCATAGGCAAAGTGGGGGAGAACAAGAGGTCACAAGACCAGTCAAGAAAGGCAAAGCAAGCTCAGGGTGGATCACGAAGTCACCACACACTCTGCATGTGAACTGGCCTTGTGGCCATTTGCTTGTGCTCGATCTCTGACACTCAGATGTATTTAATTGCCCATCATTCTCTATCCCTACTTCCATTCTGCCTGCCCCCTCCTGTTTTGTCCTCTCCTGTCCACTCCTCTCCGCTCTCCCTCACTCATCTTCTTCCAACACCCGTTTCACCAATCAGAATGCTTCAGGCAGTGCGTTGTAACATGGAGGCGTATTCTGCGGTTCACAGCGGTGCAAAGCGTTACCAGAAAAAGGAAGGGAGAGGCAGCAGAGGTCAACGGGAAGCGTTCGAGTTGTCTCTAGCAGAGCTGCAGGGGCTGCTGATGATGCTGGAGGCAGCAATAGGGCCGCAAGGCGAACATGGAACCTTCTTCCAGGTAGGTTTCCCCCTTCCTTCTCCTCTTTTATTTGACTCAATAGTCACCTCAGCTCAGATCTGCAGGGGCTGCTGATGATGCTGGAAGCAGCAGTAGGGCCTCAAGGCCAAGAGGGAGCATTCTTCCAGGTAGGTTTTCCAACATTCCTTCTCCCTTTTGTTCTCCTCCCTATCTTCTTTCCTTTGTCTTCTGTCTAATATCCCACAATAACAAACCGTGCTTCTCCCAAAATCTCATCTGCAAGCTCCTCCATTATCCTCATTTTTTATCGCCACGTCCCATCCCAACTGCTTTTGAGTCGACTCAAAAGCCCTCCATTATCCTCAGTTTTGATCGTCGCCTCCCATCCCAATCGAACGTTTCACAGAGCTGGAAGGAGAGTGTAGCCCGGGCAGTGGGTCCTGCAGCACCTCCCCTCGCTGCTGCAGCAAAGGCTGGAAAAGGAGGAAAAGGGGGAACGGGGAAGGCAAGTGCTGGGCGGCAGGTGCTGAGCGGGCGGGCGCTATGGCGGCAGCAGCAGAGGTGGCTGCTGCCGCTGGTGACTCATTTGAACGCCTCTGCCGATTCTGCTCTTCATGCCATCGGTAAGCTCTTTTCTTTTGAGGTGCCTAAAAAAATGCTGAGTGGGCAGGCGCTGTGGCGGCACGGCAGCAGCAGAGGTGGCTGCTGCCGCTGGTGGCTCACTTGAACGCCTCTGCTGATTCTGCTCTCCATGCCATCGGTGCGTTCTGTTTTGTCCAACTTTTAAGATGCCTCAAACGTTGCTGGCGGTGGCTCATCGCAACTCCTCTGCCAGCTTTGCACTCCATGCCATAAGTTCGTGCTCATTGTCATCCTTCCCCCATTCCTCCCCTTCCCCCTCTCGTTCCTTTTCCCATTCTTCCCTCCCGTCCTCACCTGCCCACCATGTCAATGGCACTGCCAGGCAGCCACTCCGAGCAGCACAACACCCGTCGCCACTTAGCCGGATGCATCGCTCTCTTCCTCTTACTCGCACCCATAGCAGGTGAGGTGACCCACTAGATTGGTTTTTTCTTTGGTACCTTCTTAATCTGTTTCTTGTTTTAGTGTAGTTGTTTCTATTCTCGTCTCTACTCAAGAATCGATACTCACCCTAATGTAGCGAGGTTGTTTTTGAGACGTCTCAAAAATCAAGAATCGATACTCACCCTAATCATTCACCTTTTTCGTTCTCGTGGCAGCACCGGGCTATGAGAAGCAACTCATAAAGGCCACCCCAAGCCTGTTCGAGGCTGTCAGGCTCCATCCTCTGTTACCTCTTGCCGGACCCCTCCCCCTCTCCGCCTCTCTCCCCCCCCTCCTCGCCCTCCACCTGCCCCCTGCCCTGCTGGCGGTTTCCCCTGCGCCCTTCTCTGCCCTGGGGGAGAGCAAGGGCAGGGGGAAGGCGGGAGCGAAAGGGGCAGGGGGAAAGGGGGAGGTGAAAGCAGGGAAGGGGAGTGCGGAGGGGAGGGGGAACGGGGGAGAGAGTTGGCGTGGAGTGAGGGAGGTGTGTGAGGATGTATTGAGAAGAGCATTGGATCGGGCTCATGAAGACCTACCAAGGTGCGCATGGCAATGGTGCCTTCCTCCTATATTGTGCTAGGAGTGTCATTCGGCCTTCCTGTTATAATTTTTGAGTCGACTCAAAAATCACCTCCGTGCCAATGTGTGCAAGGCGATGGTTCCTTCCTCTTAGATTGTGCCAGGAATGCTGTTCAGCATCCCTGTCCCATCCCAGCTGCCTCATTCCTTTCCTCCCCTAGCTGCCTCGCTCTCCGCAGCCCTCAGGCTCCCCCCTCAGACCTTATTAAGTAAATCTCTGTCAATATCTTCCCCTTCCTCCCATCTTCCACATCCCCACACTTCAGGCTTGCGTCAGCCTTCCCTCCCCTAGCTGCCTCTCTGTCTGCAGCTCTCAGGCTCCCGCTCAGGCTGTCTTTGCAGTGCGATCTCCTGGAGGAGGCGGTGGGGAGTCAAGGGAAGCTGGTGCAGCAGGTGGGGGGTTCTATATTGTGTACATTGCATGCAGGTGTGGTGTGGTGTGGGGTGGTGTGGGGTGGATGTGGGTGTGGGTGTGGGTGGGTGTGGGTGCGTGTGTGCAGTCTTAGTGTTCTTCGCGTTCTCACTCACCTCCTCGTTCCTCCACTGGGAAAGCAGGAAGTAGGCAGCAGCACAGCAGGCAGGAGGAGGCAGGGAGTCAAGCCGACATTTTCTATCCCACACCCTTCAAAGCAAGCATGTTACCTCCTCTCACCGCTGTCAGTCAGTCAGCCAGGTCACACCTACCGCTGTCACATGCCATGCGAGGTGAACTTCTTGTAAAAAACAAGACTTACTTTCCTTGTTGTGTGTTACGCTATTTTGCAGACTCTTGCCGTCACATGGAACGCGAGGCATCAGGTCCAGACTCTGCTTGATCTGCATGCCAGCTTGCGGGTGAGTGAGCTTGACAACGCCAGTTGCTTGCCGCATCACGAGCAAAGTGTGCCACTGTTCAGAATTAAAAAACGAGATCTGTTTACCGACCAACACTAGGTGTGTTGTGTAGTCTCCATGTCATGCGTCCCCTTCCTTGCACTTACCTTACCGGGATATTTTCAGCGTTTGTTTTCCTGTGTTATGTTTTATGCCGTCGCCATGGCAGGTGTCTCTCAAGAGGCGTCAGATTGTGCTAGTCGCTGCAGTACTGCAAGCAATCAAGGTGATCTAGTCGTTCTACTCTAGTCCTCACGTGTGAATCTTGCATTCTGATACCAAAGAAACAAAAACGTTGAGCATGACAGCGCCTTTTTTTTGGGGGGAGGGGGGGCGGGCGGGGGGGGGGGGGGGGTGGGTATTTAATTGTCGTGTAAGATTGTTTCTCCCCATCTTCTTCCCCCCTCCCTCTTCCCCTCTCCCCCCTTCTTTCCTCCTCTGTTCTGCACCTGCTCCTCTCACTCACGCTAGCAAGTGGAGTCGGCTCTGGCAGCGTGCCTCCCCTCGCTCTCCCTCCACCTACCTCTGTACCAGCAGCACCTGCTGCGACAACTCAACGCAGCCTTGCTCCCTCTTCAGGTGCTTTCTGGGTCTTCTCAGGTGCTTTTTGTTTCGATACGGGTTTTTGCAGCACTCCAATATCAACAATAGTCTGTGCTGCACTTCCCCTAGCCTCCTCTTTTCTTTGTCTCAACCACTCCCTGGCGCAGTGCAATGCAAATAAAATCAGACTGGTACTCACCCCCTGTCAAATCAGTCCATGCCAATTGATATAAAAGGCTTACAACACTTACGTCCTCACCCCTCCGAGTACCCCTCTCCCCTGCTATTCCATTCCATGCCCCTTCGAACTCACCCTTCCAAATCCACTCTTTCTTATTGGAGGGAAGCCCCAAAACCATGTCACCCCTGCTCAAAACCACCAGATGGATCAGCTGGCGAAGCTACCCCGGCCATCTCCCTTGCAAGCACATCCAACTACAGGAGATGTGGAAGGAGGGAGCGAGGCGATGGGGGGAGGAGGGGGTGGGATAGAGGGCGAGGTAGCAGGCCAGCCCTCATCGTCGTCGGTTGCTGCTCTGCTTGCTTCAGCACCCCCGCCTGCTGGCTCCCTCTTCCCTTGGAGCAACAAGGGTGAGTGAAGGGCTGCATGGCATGCCAGCCATATACATGCCATGCCATACGGGCCACGCACGGCATACGCACCTTGGCATGCATGCCATGCCATGACATATCCTTTGTGGCGAATCAGAACAAGAACGCCTTAGCCATGCTCCGAGGCATTTGGTGCCGCTTATTGTGCTGTTTGTTTTGCCGGTTGTTGTTCTGTTTTTGTGCAACAACACACTGATTCATCAGCCCACATGTGCCGCCACTATGCTGCTGTGCTCCTGCAGCTGCCATGGATACCCACAAGAAGCTCGTCAACTCCATTGCCACTGTAAGCCCCTTGCTTGTCACCCCTTCCTGTCTGTCACCCTTCGTGTCACCCTTTCCTGTCTCCCCTTCGTGTCACCCCTCTCTATCACCCCTGCCCCACCACCCCACTGCACCCCACCCAACACCCCTGCTGCAAGCATGTCTTCCAGCGAGCTCCGTCCTATTGTCCCACCCCTAACACTGCTCCTGTCCTACTATCTCAACCCCACGGTCACCACTTCTTTCTTGCCCTTCCACTCCTCACGCCCCATGCCCATCGAGCAGTCCTTATCATTGAATATATCATAGATGGTACGCCCCTTGCCCGTGCCCGCCTCTCTCTCTTGTTGCATGTTACACCCCATCTCATAGCCCTGCTGTCACCCCTCTCACCATCCCTACCCTCCAGCTCACCAGCATGCTTCAGCTGACGTGGCATCAGATGCCATCGGATTGTCTCCTCTCCTTCCTCTCAACTGCTTGTGCCCTCCTCCCTCCCCTTGTAAGCACCTACTCCCTCGCTTGTAGTAAGCACCCCTTTCACCCTTTTTACAAGCACATCTATTACAAGCACATCTATCCTCTGCCCCCACCATTCACTCGTGTCAAACGATTGTATAGGCCCATCCTTGTGCTTCAATCTCATCTACTCCGTTTCCTCTCTGCCTCCACAACCCTCCAATCCCAACCCCCCTATCCCCTCTTTTCGATTCGCAGGTCGACCCCATTCCGTCCTGCCAACCCCTGCTCGCTCAACTCCACTTCTCCACACTCCTCCCCTCCCTTTCATCCTCCTCCTCTTCCTCCTCTTCCCCCTCCCCTTCCTCCACCACCACTGCATGCTTCTTCCTCTCCTCGCGGCCTCATCTCCTCGCCCCTGCGCTTGCTGCCCTCTACTCTCAGCCGCTCATCCAACCCAACTCGCTCCAGTAATTCTCTCTTCCCCCGAGACCCCCCATGTGCTATAGCATCATGCACCACTGCCACTCTCTGCACCTCCCTGCTTTTGCATTCTGCAACGAGCCTCTCTAATCCTACTGAGCTAACCACCCTACCCGTCTCACCAATCCTACTGATGTAAACCGTTTCGCAGGTACCTGGTAGACGCATTCTTGGATGGGGCTCGGTTGCTCCTGCAGCCGCACACGCAGGAACGGCACAGCAAGCAGTCGAAAGAGCACACGGGGAGAAGAAGCAGCAGCCGGAGTGTCTCGGGGGGCGACATTTACAGTGTGGAGAATCAACTGGAGGTTGCATTGGTTCAGGTGAGTGGGAGTCTTCACAGCCAGAATGATCAAGAAGCCATGCATTGGTTCGGCTGTCAAAGGCGAGCCGCCAAAAGAGTGGCAACTAGGCCATGCATCCTGTCCCAGTCAGTCCTCCAGTCGCTACTAGACTGGCCCTCCCTTTCCCCCTCCCACTTGCCCCACCTCAACCCATCATCCCCTTGGTAGCCCTTCCCCCAGCCGCTCACTCAACAGTCCCTCTCTTTCTCCTCTCCCACTTGCACCACCTCCCCCTGCCATCCTGCCTGTGGCCGCTCACTCGAGACGGTCATCGCACACCTCCATCTACATGCCATCTCATCCCCTCCTCCCCTATCTCTTCCCCTCCCGCACCACCCTTTCCCCCTCCATCCCAAATGCAGTCATTCCAGTGGCCGCTCACTCGAGACGTCATTGCAGACCTCCATCTGCATGCCATCTCCCACTCTGATCTGCACTCCTCCAATCCGCGCTTCAACCCCCGCAAGGTACAACATGTCATCAGCCCCTTCGACCATCACACATCTTCAGTCGACTGAAAAGTCACTCCTTGGACCATCACAGATCTGAAATCTTCTTGCAGTCCCCACTCACACTCACTCTCACACTCACACTCACTCTCACACTCACACTCACTCTCAAGTGTACTTTTTCTTATAGACTTCCCAGAACCCACTCACTGTTTTCCAAGTTATCTCAAGGCACACTTTCACTTTTATCCTCTAGTTTCCATTCCACTGTGTCCCCAACCCCTCACCACCCCCGCAAGCAGACAGGGGTTCGCAACCTGCTGCAGTTCCTGCAGCTGCCGCCCATCCGCCTGCTCTCCAGGCAGATTGACATACAAGCACACGTGGCACAAGCACTGGCAGCCTCCCTCTATAATCACACTGCAGCCAGTCCTGCCAACTGGAAGGTCCGTATGCTTGGCACTTGCCAATTTGATATTCGGCTATTGGCATATACAATCCTTGGTTGCTTTTTGAGGCGCCTAAAAAATTGGCATATACAATCCTTGGTTGCTTTTTGAGGCGCCTAAAAAATTGGCATATACAATCCTTGGTTGCTTCTGTCTCCCCAACCTGCCTCTCCTTTTCCTTGCTTCAATCTTAGCAGTTATTTGCACTGGGGGCTGTCTGGTTTGTTCAAAATCCCTTCACCTTGTGACTCCATAATCAATCAACCAAGCACATTGGTATTGTTTGGGCCCTTTTCCTCTCTCCCCTGGTGCCGGTTACCATTGCCAGCTAGGCGAGGACGTGAGACAGCTAGCGGCCAGCAAATATCGGCTGCTTCTGCCGCCGATTGCCATAGGAGGAGGCCTGGCATTCAGACTCCACAGCGCCCCTACTCCCTCCTCCACCTCCTCCCCCGCCCTTCCCTTCTCACTCCTCCACCCTCCCTCACTCGCCGCCAATCTCCCGTTCTTCGTCTCTGCATTCTCGTTCGACCTTTCCACCCTAACCTTCCACCAACGGCCCTCCTCCCTAGTCAGATTCCACGAACCTTCCTCACCCATCCCTTCCACCCGCCATGCTGACTCATCATCACCGTTCTCCTCCGCGCACGGGCCTCGGTCGCTCACGCTGCGCCAGCTGTCCGGTCTCCTCCAATCCACGCACGCCATGCTGTTTCTCCAGCACGCCGCCACGTCAGCGTGCAAGCTGATTGCGGGGAAGCTGTCTCACCTGTCTCGGTTGTTCCTGCATGACAGAGCGCACTCGCTGCTGCTGCAGTCGATGAAGCAGACACAGCAGAAGCAGCAGCAGCAGCAAATGCAGCAGCAACAAGATCAACAAGAAACTCAAGCTACTGGTCTGGCTCCTGCTAAGAATGCTGGTGCTGCTGGTAAAGGTGCTGCTGGTGATACTGCTGCGGGTGGTGGTGACAACCCTGCTCCAGCAGCTGCTGCTGGCATGACGTTGACAATGGAGGCAGTAGACGAGCTGAAGAACGTAAGCACTCTAACATTCTTTAGCTTGTCCCTCAGAATGGAAATTGTTGATTCATTCTCACAGGTTCCACTCCAGTTTTTATTATCATTTTTGCATGTGCGTGTGCGTGTGCGTGTGCGTGTGTGTGTGTGTGTGTGTGTGTGTGTGTGAGAGAGAGAGAGAGAGAGAGAGAGAGAGAGAGAGAGAGAGAGAAAGAAAGCACGCGCGCGTGCGTGCGTGCGCGTGCCCGTGCGATGCGGGTGGGTGCTTGCTCATGCATGAATATGTGTGTGCGCTTGTGTGCATGCATGCATACGTGTGCGTGTGTGAGCGCATAGTTTTGAGACGTCTCAAAACTATGTGTGTGCGTGTGTGCACACATGCATGTGTGTACGTGTGTGCCTGCACGCATGCACGCATAGAAACATGCTCATACAAAAAAATGTGCCACCCCTTTGTCTGAGCTGCCTCTGCTCTACTCCTCTCACCTCCAACAGAAGCTCCAGGAGATCTCAGTAGACCCTGACTGGCGCATAGCCAAGCCTGCCCCAGTTAACAACAACCACGATGCATCTGGCACCCCTGCATCATCATCAGCAGCACAAGGGGTTGCAGGGAAGGGGAAAGAGGAGAAACGAGGAAGAGGAGGGGCAGACAAGAGGCCGTGGGGGGAGGTGGTGGTGGAAGAGGTGAGGGAGATGGGCGTGGCTCTTGGGTTTGTGCTGGCTGCTGCTACAGCTGCGTGCCACAGTGCAGAGCACACTCTCAGGTGAGATCAACAGAACGACGTCATGCTCAGGTGATTCCAGAAAAGACATTGCTTGCTAGAATGGAACTGGATACTGCTGGCTGGAGCACCCTATCTCCAGCATCTCTCTGCAAACCCCCTTCATGCTTTCACCTCTTCAAATTCGTGAGCTATTCTGATATAGTGTTGTTCCATCCATCAAGCACGCCTGTATTGTAACTCAGCTTTCTTCTCCTTCTCCTGTCTCCTCTTTTGCCACGTCTCCCTCTCCCAGCGCCCTTCCCTCACACGCTGTAGGATCACCCCTCCACCGCCTCCTCCTCGCCTCGCCCCTCTCCCACCAGCCGCTCCTCCTCCTCTCCTCGCTCTCCAACTCCCTCCGCGCAGCTGCACACACTCAACCTGTGCCATTACTTCATCTGCTCGTGAACGTCTTTCAAAGGGTACGTACGCACCCATGTTATTTGTGAACTCAAACTTTGCCTAGCTAGCAGCGCAAACCCACCCTATGCCTCTGGACCGTCTGCTTTTCGAAAAAGGCAAGCACCCACCCTACCAGCACCACCAGTGGCTTATTCTCTTGCCTGCCTTTCCATCATGCTCTTCCTTGCCCGCCTTTCCATCATGCTCTTCCTTGCCCGCCCCCCCACCACCTCCTCCTCCCCAACTCTTTCCCACTTTCTCTCACATCCTCCCATCCCTCTCAGGAGCTTCAAGCCTCGTCTCATCGCCCCTTCCTCACGCTCCCTGCCGCCATTCCCCCGCTCTCCCTGCTGCTGGCTTCCAAGAATCACCTAGCGCAGCAGCGACTGGCAGATGCAGTGGCGGGTGGTGGCAGGGACGGCCGTGTGGGGGACTATTGCGTTGACTCACATACCCTTCACACCCCCTCCCATCCTTCTCAGGAGCTGCAAGCCTCGTCTCACCGCCCCTTCCTCACGCTCCCAGCCGCCATTCCCCCGCTCTCCTTAATTCTGGCTTCCAAGAAGCAACTAGCGCAGCAGAGGCTGGCAGATGCAGTGGCGGGTGGTGGCAGGGACGGCCGTGTTGGGGGAGGGAGGGGTGGTGGCGGGTCTAGTGGGAGTGAGGGAGGGCGAGGATGGGAGAGGGGAGGAGAGGGCGAGGGGGGAGCATGGGAGGCACAGGATGACGACTGGTTGCCTGATGATGGATTCACGCTGGGAGTGGCTTTTCTTCTCACGGTACGTCTGTTTTTTAGGTGCCTTAAAAATGGAGCATGGGATGAGAGGCACATGATGATGACTGGTTGCCTGACGATGGATTCACGCTGGGAGTGGCCTTTCTGCTCACGGTAAGAAGAAGCATTTCCTGCTCGAGGTTTATTTATTTATTTTTAGGGGCCTTAAATATCGTCTCATATCTCCGACTGCGAAAGCATTTTCTTGTCATGCAAAAGCCTCTAGCTTGGGTCTCCCTTGGTATTCTCTTAGAATTTGCAGAATCATCCCGCAGTGCACCCCATCTGTGTATCCTCTCCCTGCAGGTGACCAATCAGCGCCTTGCCTTTGACTCCATGGACTGGTTCTCGCTCGCCCTGCACCATCTCTCCTTCCAGCGCCAAGCCATGCCCACAAACCCTCCCTCCACTCTCACTCCTGCTGCTGCTGCTGCTGGCGGAGGTGGTGGTGCTGCTGCTGCTACTGCCGCTGGTACTGTTGGTGGTGCTGTGAGTGGCAAGTCAGCAGGCAGAAGAGCAGATGCAGGGGAGGAGGAGGATGATGAGGAGGAGGAGGGAGAGGGCGCTGGGGGTGCCGGAAGAGGGGTGACTTCCCTCTGGTCCTCCTGGTTCGGTGCCACTGCTGCATCTGTTGAAACTGCAGCTTCGCAGCCAGAGCTGTCTCCAGAGCTGACTCACCAGCTTCGGCAGGTTCGTTTGGCTGTACCCTGTCTCACAACAGCCTGACTTCCAACATTGTGTGTTGTTTCTTTCATACAGCATTCCAAGCTGACCTCTCGTTTCAACATCTTTAACCCATTTCTATCCCCATTGTCTCTTCTCGTTCTCTCTCACCGTTGTCTATCCACTGTGTCTCTCCCAATTCTCTCCCCATTCTCTCCCCATTTCCACTCCTCACGACAGAGGGAGCGAGTGCTGGCAGGCATGGCGGAGCAGCTGAGCCTGATGAACGTGGTAACCATTTCCGCACTTCGGCTGTTTGACTCCAGCCCACACACATAGTGACACAGCCTCATCTACCACACACCACATAGTGACACAGCCTCATCTACCACACACCACATAGTGACACAGCCTCATCTACCACACACCACATAGTGACACAGCCTCATCTACCACACACCACATAGTGACGCAGCCTCTTCTACCACACACCACATAGTGACACAGCCTCATCTACCACACACTTACAGCCTGCTGTGGCGCTGCTTCTGAAATTTCTCAAAAGCGGAGCAGCTGAGCCTGATGAATGTGGTAACCGCTGCTGCTCTTCGGTTGCTTGACTCCAGCTCAGCAGCCTCCCTCCACACAGTGACTCCACCTCATCTACCAAACACTGACACGCTGCTGTGGTGCTGCAGGAGTTGCTGAGAGGTATTACTGGCTGTATGCTTACTGAATAAAATATATTAATACGGTAAATACATTTCTGCACAATTTCACTACTGCACTCATTCAATTGCTGGATTTCAGGATCAAAGCCAAGTCGAAAGCATCGACCCGAACCAGCTTCCGCTGCTCTGGGTCCTCAGCTCCAGATCCGCCGTCTTCTGATCTTCCTGTCCCTCCGGACCCGCTTGTCCCGACGTCATTGCCCTCACGATTCTCTGCTTGGCTCGAACCAGACTCGGCCTCCAAAAGCTCTCTTAGCTGGTCAGCGACTGATGCTCCTCTTGTGCCCTCGTCCAGCCTGCACGTGCCAATATGGGTGGATGGGTGCTTTACAAATTCACGCTTGGAACAGCAAATATAACGGTTACAGTTCGATGGGCGGTTGGTTGTTGGTAACTGGTTACACAGCCAGAACAGCAACGCTCGACAGTAAATTCAAGGCACAGGCCCATTGGCGACCACGGGGCGGACAGACCACGGGGAACAAGTGTGCTGCTTCTGTCAAAATCTGTCAAAATGGGCGATGCAAGAAGCAACTGTTTCGGGTTACGGTTTCGCGTTTCGGGTTCAGCGCACGCACCTATCAAAGAAGTTTGGGGCAGAAGCAGCATCACCCGAAGCCGATCTCCTGTGCCACGGCCTGTGAGGCACCTCATGCCCATGAAGGCCCCTCCTGCTCCACGCCAAGTGCTGCTGCTGCCGGCCCTCCGCTCCCACCATCCGCAGCTGGCTCACTGTCTCTGCATTGCTCTTCCAGCTCCTCCCACCCCTGGAAAACCCAGACGCTTTCTGAGGCGCCTCAGCAGTTGCTGTCGCTGCTGCCCGCAGCTGCCTCGCTGTCTCTGCGCTGCTTCTCCAGCTCCTGCCGCTTCTGTTAGGCCCAGAGCTCTGCTGCTTGCTGCTATGCGAGCCTGAATCTGCCCCAGAACCTCTTACCAAACTTCCGGAATGCATCTGTTGAGAAAGAGCGTCGGGGCTCTGCTGCTCGGGGCCAAGCGGGAAGGCCCGTGGAGAGATGATGCGGTTCAGCTGTTCGGAGTTGCCACGCAGTGACAGCTGTACGGGCGAGTGGTCATCGGGTGATCTAGCGAGGCGCTGACGTGGCGAGATGCGATTGGCGGTGTGGATTCGATTCACGTCTTCAGCAGAGGAGGTTCTGCGGTGCTGCTGCTGCTGCTGCTGCTGCTGCCACTGCTGACTCTGCCGCGCTCTCCCTCCTGCTTTTCTCAGGTCTTGGCTCGACGCAGTAAACTCGAAAGCTGCCCTGTTTTTCCCAGGAGAGAGGAGGATAGGACCACGGGAGGACGAGGAGGAGCCTCCTCTTCGCCCGCTTAGTCCTGCCACTTGTGCTGCTGCGATTGGTGCTGCTGCTGCATGTGGTGGTGCTGCGGATTGTGCTGCTGTGTATGGGTTTCCTGCCATGTTCCTGTCCTTGCTCCACTGCTGCCCCCTGTTGTACTTATCAACAAGGGTGTTGACGGTCTGGTGAAGCGACAGCAGCCCCTTCTGCGAACCAGACACCACCGATTTGCTCAGCGTTGTCACCGCTCGGAACCCCGTGTTAGCCCCCATGCTCTTGCTCAGCGACTTGATTCCCGAGTCAACTCGCGCACCCCTGCCGGGGGATTTTAACCCGGATTCGGTGAGATTCGGTGGCCTGGATGACAGGTTCGGTAGTCTGGGCGATAAGTTCGGTGGTCCGGGAGACAGACTCGGAGAGCTGGGTGAGTTCGGTGGTCTGGATGACAGGTCTGGTGGCCTAGGTGACAGATTCTGTGATCTGGGGGACAGGTCTGGTGGCAATCTGGGGGACTTGGACTGAAAGCGCTTTGATGGCAATCGGTCGGGCATGCCAAGTGGGGCACGGTGGGAAACCGGGGAGGCGTGTCGCCTGGTGGGTGATGGCTGCTGGGGCAGGTGCAGCTGATTTAACGCCTCTGCTCGCGTCTCCTGGAGGCTGGACGATGCGGTAACCGTTACTGCTGCTCGGTTGAAAGTTGCGCTGACATGGTTCCCTCCTTGCTGTTGTGGCGACTCATGGTTCGGTGCTGACATGCTGTTGTTTCGGTTTGGGACGAGGTGGGCGGGTGGGGAAGGCAGGCGGGTGGGAACAAGGGGATGTGAGTGTGAGCCGAGGCAGAGGGCGGATTGAGAAGCTGATATTGGGTGGGGGTTTGGAGGAGAGGAGAGGTGTTGAAATTGGTGTTGCGAGGCAGGGGACAGAGGGGTTTGCGTGGGGGAGTGAGGAAGGAAGTGAGGGTGGGAGTGTGGGGAGATGTTGGAGGGGGAACGAGGGGAGAGAGGGGGAAGGGAGTTAGGAAGAGAGGGAGTGCGGCGGTGTTGTGTTGTTCGTCTGTTGCGGGCCATCTGGTACTGCCACCTGTCAGTTCGAGGGGAAGTGAGGGCGCTAGAAGACGAAGTATGCTGGCCGAAAGTATCCACAGGGGATGCTGCTGTTGCTGCAACGGCTACAGTGCCAGCAGCACCACTAGCAGCACCAATGACAGCAGCAACAGCAGCAGCACCAGTGACTGAAGCACCAGCAGCGGCACGCGTAACAGCAGCACGAGTGACTGGAGCACCAGCAGCAGCAGCACCACTAGCAGGAGCAAGAGCAGGGGTACTAGTGGCAGATGCAGCACCACCCATGCCAGTTACTGCAGCAGCGGCACCAGCAGCAGAAGCACCACCACCACCACTAGCAGCAAGAACTGCCCAGCTCCATTCACCAGCACTCACTCCCTCGTCCCTGCCATCCCTCCTCTTCTCTCCCTCTCCCTCTGCCCTCCATGCCTCTACATCAAACCTTACCACCTTTTCTTCTTCCAGGAGCCGTATTGCCTCCAATTCACCCTGCCTCTGCTCAAATGCCCCTGCTCCTCCCTCTTTGTTCCTCCACATATTGACAACGCTCGGCCCCTCTGCCTCTCCTTCACATCCTCCTCCTCTCCTTCCTCTTGCAGTTAATTTCCCCTGTCTATGATCAGACATCTCTGCACTTCCCTCGCTTTCAGACAACCTTGGGAGCGTTTTGTATCGGCGCACACGAACCTCCTCGTTGCCCTCGGATTCTGACCCGCTATAAGCATCTGCACTACCGTACAATAGTCTAGGTGCAGCAGAGAGTGTTCGCTGAATGGTGAGTCTCCGGCCACTACCAAACCTCTCGCCTTGGCTGCTGCTCCTGCTGCCGGGCCTGCTTCCGGACCTACTTCCGGGCCTGCTTCCGTTCCTGCTTCCAGACCGACTTCCCGGCCTGCTTCCGTTCCTGCTACCGGGCCTGCTTCCGGGCCTGGTACCGTGCCTACTACTGGGTCTGCTGTGTCCATCCCCATAAACAACAGCCTCTCCAAGCAATCCCATCAGTTGCTCATCCTCCTCCCCCTCCCCTTCCTCCTCATCATCCTCATCCTCATCCTCCTCGCCATCCTCTCTTATCTCAGACACTCTCATCTCTTTCCCCTGCCTCTCCTCCTTCTCCTTCTCCTTCTCTCGTCTCTCAACCCCTCTCAGAATTGTGCTCTTCTCAAACTCGTCCTCATCCTCCTCCTCTTCCTCCTCCGCCTCTTCGCCCTCCTCAGCAACCTGTGTCAAGCTTGACCCACCCACAGCAGCATGAGTGCCAATGCACCCACTGCTGCCGATCGACCCGCCAATGCTGCTCTGAAGCCCCCCCACCCTTCTACTGCCACCCCCGCCAAAACTACTGCCACTGCTGTCAAAACCACCCCCACCAATTCCACTCTGTCCCATCTCAAAACCCCCACTGCTGCTTCCTTTGCAGTGAAGAAGACTGGTTTGAGGCGCCTCAAAACTTTCTCCACTGCTGCAGCTGCTCCTGCGACTGAGAGGAGCAGTTTGACCAAACACAAACAGGTCTTCCCCTCCCAAATGCTCCCCACCCCAGTTGCTACCTCCCTCCCACTCGTGGCCTCTCAATGCCACTCCCGCAGCTGGAGCTGCCAATCCTGACTCGGCACCATGTGGGCCGTCAGATCCTGTGTGCACCGGATGATAATCAAACACGAGCCGTTGGATCTCAGCTTGGTTCTGAGCGTCCTGTAGGCGAGCAGCCTCTCTGCAGCAGGGCAGTGAAAGAAAAAAAGGGAGCGGGGGTTTCAAAAGGTGGGTGCAGGGGTCGTGTGCATAAGATACGGCAATTTTCAACGGACGGCCGTGTTTGAAGAATGGGGTAGTGTGGGTGGAGGGGGTAGTGTGAATAAAATATGGCCGTATTCAAAGGACGGCCGTGTTTGAAGAATGGGGTAGTGCGCATGAAGGATGGCCTCATTTGAGGTGATTTTTTAGGCGCCTCAAAAATCACCTCAATGCTCATGGGCGGAGGGGGTAGTGTGAATAAAATGCGGCTGTATTCAAGGGATGGCCGTCTTCAAGGGACGGCTGTGTTTGAAGAATGGGGTAGTGTGCATGAAGGACGGCCGCAATTGAAGGACGGGGATTGGTTGGATCACCATGCATGTTTGGATAGAGCGAGGGGCTTGGCCATACCTGCTGGCTCGGTAGCCGCGGTGGATAAGCAGCAGCACGTAGAGCAGGCAGCAGCCCAGCGAGACAGAGCCAAAGATGATATACAGCCCGAGGAACTTGTGCATCGACAGCTGCACTGCCGAGTCTGCCTTGTGAGTCGGCACAACAACCAGCTCGTACCTGCTCGCGCGGTAGCCGCGGTGAATGAGGAGCAGCACGTAGAGCAAGCAGCAGCCCAGCGAGACAGAGCCAAAGATGATATACAGCCCGAGGAACTTGTGCATCGACAGCTGCACTGCCGAGTCTGCCTTGTGAGTCGGCACAACAACCAGCTCGTACCTGCTCGCGCGGTAGCCGCGGTGAATGAGGAGCAGCACGTAGAGCAAGCAGCAGCCCAGCGAGACAGAGCCAAAGATGATATACAGCCCGAGGAACTTGTGCATCGACAGCTGCACTGCCGAGTCTGCCTTGTGAGTCGGCACAACAACCAGCTCGTACCTGCTCGCGCGGTAGCCGCGGTGAATGAGGAGCAGCACGTAGAGCAAGCAGCAGCCCAGCGAGACAGAGCCAAAGATGATATACAGCCCGAGGAACTTGTGCATCGACAGCTGCACTGCCGAGTCTGCCGCCAGTGAGGAGATCCCGGAAGAGGAGGAGGAGGATATACCGTAGCTGCTGCTGTCGCTGCTGCTGCTGGGTTGGGTGCATGAGCTGTTGATCCCACTGAAGTGTTGCTCCCGCAGCTGCTGCAACTTGCCTGACATGGACAGTTGCACGATCGCCTGTGATATGTCTAGACCCAGCTGAGAGCCCTTGGGGAAGGCCTGGGAGGATGGGGACAGGGAAGGGTCGAAGATTGAATTGAGTGGGCAAGTCTCCTAGTGCTCTGAAAGGTGGCCCACACCCACTCCCAGAGCACCCACTCCCACCAAAGCACTCAATAAACACCCCCAAAAACGAGGTGGCACAGATTCCTGACCAAATCAAGTTTGTGGAGAGATACATGCTGTGGTGCTTTGCATGGCGACATTGCAGCAAAAAAAAAAAAAAAGGAAATGAGAAGAGCTCGGAGCAGTGTGCTGCTTGCAAGTTTTGAGACGTCTCAAAGCTCGGTTTTTGAGGCGCCTAAAAAATTGAGACGTCTCAAAGCTCGGTTTTTGAGGCGCCTCAAAAATTGAGACGTCTCAAAGCTCGGTTTTTGAGGCGCCTAAAAAATTGAGACATCTCAAAGCTCGGCGCAGTGTGCTGCTTGCAAGCGATATTTGAGACGTCTCAAAAGGCGATATTTTTCATTTTGTATTATTTTCTTCCTTTCTTTCTTGGGTTTCTTTTTGCATGAGCAATTTGGTGTTTGGAACGAGATTACAGGGCAGAGAGATGGCTTACAAAAGCGAGGTTGAGGAGGGAGAAGGGCTGAGGCGCGAGGGCGACGTCGCAAAAGTCGAGGGAGAAGAGCTCGAGGTACGGGTTCTCGTCCACTATCACCCCCACTCGGCCCGAGGTCAACGCCTCTACATACTCATCCTCGTTATTCAGTGCCACCAAGCGGTTCTGTATGGGGGCGGCAGTCGGGTTGGGTGAGAAAGGATTTGGCGAAATGGGTTTGGGTAGTGTGGGAGGCAGTGCGGTGCGGAGGGGTAGAGTACAATCCAAATGATCATATTGGTTTGGCAAGATTGGTTGATCCTCCCATGTACAACCCACACCACACAAGCATAGCCATGCAGAGCCACCTATCCACCGCCCACCATACTTCTATAACGCCAGAAGTACGGCACCTAGCACTGAACGGCATACCGCGGGGATGCCCATCTGCTGCAGGTACGCATTGATGAATGACCCCAGCTGGTAGCCAATGGGGGATGAGGTCGAGGCGGCGGAACCAATGTCCTGGTGGGACCGTGTGGGATGCGGTGGGATGGGATGAGGCAGGCTTCGAAAGGTCTCAAAACCCATAATGGAATAAGCACATCATGCAACAGCACATCATGGGATCATGAGCACACGACGGGTGGACTTTGGAGGAATAGAGTCGTATGAGACTGAAAGGCAATCCGGGCTCTCTGAAGGCAAGATAGATAGGTTATTGCATATATACTATAACATATGTATATAGTATCTACATATATATATGTATATACATATATGTATATATAACAGACTTGTTGGTTTCACCCAAACCACACTATTGAAATGCTGGACCGACTTAGGCACGCACAGTTGGGTTACGCAAAACTTACCAGGTCGCTTTTCAGAATTTAAAAAAATGACCTGTAAAAACTTACCATTGCGGAGGGTTTGAGCCGGTTGACTGTGACAATAGACGTGAGGTTCGCCGTGTACATTGTGACTATAAGGTAGCCGACGATGAGAAACACGATGACAAAGAGCCGGGCGAGGGAGGTGCGAACAGGGTACTCTGCCGTGACAATCACGAGTGGGGGCAGTGGCAGTGGATCGAGAGAGATATTTTGAGAATTCTCAAAAGTGGCTTCCAAATGGGGTGCTCTGCCGTGACAATGTGTTTTGAGTCGACTCGAAACACGTGCCATGACAACAATACCGATGGCAGTGGAGCGAGAGATATAAGAGCAAGAAAGCCATTCGCTTGGTCATCAGAACCACCGAGTCGATGGAATGGTGAGGACTGGGATGGGACATAAAGACAAGCTGCTTCTGAGCGTCCCTAAGCTGGTTGCGGGTTAACCAAGTCGATTTTTGAGTCGACTCAAAAATCGACTCACTACACGCGGCTTTTGAGTCGACTCAAAAATCGACTCACTACACGCGGTTAACCTAGTCATGCTGTTCCAAGTGGGGAGAGCTGGGCCGGGCAGGTCAAGAAGGAGAAGCCACACAACCATGATGAAAGGAGTATACTGTAAGGTTTGCAGGCAAAAGAAACTTCCAAGCACCACCAAATAGCTCTGGAAGGAACAACGAGGAGATGTGGTTGGGGAAGAGAGTCACTCACCCAGGATGGCATAGAGCGTTTGCAGGCCGAACCTGCAGGTGGTGGGGTAGAGACGCACAGAGACACATAGAGATCGAAAGAGGTGATGAGCCAAGCCCCACCAGCACGCACACACAGCGGCACTTTTGAGCATTCTGAGGCGCCTCAAAATACACCTCAAGCACAACCGCATCATAGACTGCATTCTGAGGCGCCTCAAAATACACCTCAAGCACGACCGCATCATAAACTGCATTCTGAGGCACGGCACGTACCACACAGCGTTCTGCAGGCGCTGGTGGAGTTTCCCTCTAAAGGCCTCGTTTGACTGCTGCTCCAGGAACGAGGTGATGATTCCCTTCCCGCCAACACACAGTGCGAGTGTGACCCGTAATCTCTCAAAACGGAAACTAATCGTTACAGGTGCACGTACCACGCGGCGTTCTGCAGGCGCTGATGCAGTTTCTCTCGGAAGGCCTCATTAGACTGCTCGTCCAGGAACGAGGTGATGAGCCCTGCTAGCACGCACAGCGCCATTGTCACTCCCCACATGCTCGCTGTGAACGGCTGGAACGCCAGCCAGGGACTTGAATTCTCCTTTGCGTACCCCATTATCCCCAGACCTGATGGCTGGGGATTGGGTCGAAAGGAGGAGGGTGATCCACACAAAGAAGCTGTGGTACAAACCCTACTAAACCTAAAAAAGCTTTGCGAAGAAAAGACATACTTATAAACACGAACGTGAAAAGGAGAGTGATTAAATGGGAGAAGGGAAGGAAAGACGGCTTACAAAGATGGGGTATGTGAAGAACACTTCCTTGTTGCGTGTCTCTGTGACTGTGATGTCTCCAATGGCCCCGTCGTATTTCTGCAAGAGAAAGACAAGACAATGCGGAGGGTAGCATTCAAGCGGGAAAGAAAAAATCAGAAGAAGAATAAAAGATTAATGAAAGCACGGAACGTGGGCAGCAAGTTGGCTGCCTGCCCCTGTCCCATACTGCTCGTCGAGGGTAGGTTTTTGAGGCGCCTAAAAAACTGAGACGATTTTTTAGGCGCCGCAAAAACCGTCTCAACTTGGCTGCCTGCCCCTGTCCTATACTGCTCATCGAGGTTAGGGGCCTGCACATGCTACAGCAGCGCTACGCATTGTGCTTGTCTGATTCATCTGGCTACAGCCAGCACCCACCTTGTCCGCCACAGCCAGCACCATCTGGGTGTAGCTGGGGGAGACGTTATCCTTGCCGTACTGCACAAACTCGCACTCGAGCGGGTATGGCAGCTTGGCCACAGCTGCTGCTACAGCCAACACTAGCCTGCACCCACCTTATCTGCTACAGCCAGCACCATCTGGTTGTAGCTGGGGGAGACGTTCTCCTCCCCATACTGCACAAACTCATAGTTGACAGGACAGAGTATGGCAGCATGGCCACAGCTGCTGCTACAGCCAGCACCCACCTTGCCTGCTACAGCCGGCACCCACCTTGTCCGCCACAGCCAGCACCATCTGGTTGTAGCTGGGGGAGACGTTCTCCACCCCATACTGCACAAACTCATAGTTGACAGGACAGAGTATGGCAGCACGGCCACCGCTGCTGCTACAGCCAGCACCCACCTTGTCCGCCACAGCCAGCACCATCTGGTTGTAGCTGGGGGAGACGTTCTCCTCGCCATACTGCACAAACTCATAGTCGAGCGGGTATGGCAGCATGGCCACAGCTGCTCGGAAGACATCGATGCAGAACCCTGAGAAGCGCTCTTTGCCCTCTCCCTTGGAGATGTTGACAAACTGCTTGTAGACCTGAGGGGGTGGGGCGGGGAGTGCGAGGAAGGTTGGAGGGGTGTGGGGAAGGGGGGGTAGGAAGGGAGATTGGATAGGGAACGGTATGGCTGGCCGCATGGCATGGCCACAGCTGCGTGGAAAACATCGATGCAGAACCCTGAGAAGCGGCTGTTGCCCTCTCCCTTGGAGATGTTGACAAGCTGCTGGTAGACCTGAGGAGGAGAGGAAGGGCGGGAAGGGGGAGGGAAATGGAGAGGGGTACGGCAGCACGGCCACAGCTGCTCGGAATAGGTCGATGCAGAACCCAAAGAAGTGCTCGTTGGCAATGGGACTGCACGAGCACAGCTGCCAATGGGACTGCACAACACAGCTGCTCCTTTGGAGACGTTCACAAACTGCGTGTAGACCTGAGGAGAGGGGGGATGGGGGGGAGGCAGGAGGTGAGGAGGGGTGGAGGTGCAAATGGGTTCAGGCAAAGGGGATAACCGGAAGAGGTCGATGCAGAACATAGAGAAGGGGTGTTGCCAACGCCTTCGGAGACGTTGACAAACTGCTTGTCGACCTGGGGAGAAGGAGTGTGGTGTGTGCTCTCATGTATGGCAATGGCGCATGCATATATCCAAATATGCACATATACGCCACACACGCACACTCACACACACACACGCACACTCACACACACACACGCACCTGCACTCGCACGCGTGCGCATACACGCACACAGAGAATACGCACCACTTTATTTGGAACAGCTAATCGAAGTTTTGTCTTGGGAAATGCGCCTATGGGTACCTGTAAGCATGGCCATTAGGGGGGAGACACGGCAAGAGAAGGAGGGGGCGGATGGCACATAAAGAAAGGAATAAAGCGATGGAGACAAAAAGCATGTCTTCTGATTGAGCTTGTATCGACTGTGAATGGGCATGTATCAATCACGTCTAAACGGACATGCATGATTACATTTTCTAGTACATGCATTTGACTCAGACTCACTTGTGTCACCCCACCCGGAAACACTATGTTCAGTGCCTCTTGCTGGTTCTTGGATGGCCGCTGAAATGGGGAAGGGAAGGAGAGCAGGAGAGCAGGAGGGCAGAGGAGGAGAGCGGAGAAAGGGAGTAGAGGAGGAGAGGCAAGGAGCAGGTATGGTTGAGACTCAAATAGCAGAAGAAGGAATGGCTGGTTTGGACACGGCATGACTGAGCATGGCACAGTTAAGCACACCACATCATACCACATCATGCCACACCTCATCGCACCACATCACACCACATTGTACCTTTAGAGAGCGCGTGAGTTGCCAGGCAGGCGTCCAGAAGCCAACCCTCATGGCTGTAGCATTCACCACGTTGAGCACCTCCGTGGCATCAGCTTGCAGGTCACCGTGTGGGGTGAGGGAGACCCTAGGGGAGGTAGGGTAAGAAAAAGGGGAGAGGGGAACTGAGGGGTGTGAAAGTAGCAAATTGAACAAGTGATTAGATTAGAGGAACAACCTAGCATACATAGTTCGAAGGGAAGGTTGGAAGGGAAAGATGAAAGTGACCATAGGTTGGGTTGACCTCACTTGGGGAAGTGAGGGAACCATAGGTCAAGTGGGTTGGGTTGCCCACACTTTGTAGAAGTGAGGCAACCCTAGGCCCACTTGGCTTGGGGTAACCTCAATTGTGGGAAGTGAGGTACCCACAAGTCAAGAGGGTTGCATTTGGGGGCTCCACCACAATTGGGTGGATTGGCACCCCAAAGTGCAAGACCACACCCAAAGTTGGGTGTAGTCCCAACCCAACTGTACACCACAATTGGTGTACAGTCACATGTGTTGGCATGCTACACAATATATATTTTAACACAACCCCTTAGCATGCTAACACAAGAAGAGAACAACCCCTGAATCAAGGGGCGCCCGGGCGAGCAAGGCCAATGAGGCGGAGGAAGGCAGAGTGCGCGGGGCGAAGGAGGGCCTTAGTGAAGATGTCGGCCAAGTTGGCCTCGGTTGCAATCTTGCGAACGGCAATGAGGCCCTTCTGGACGAGCTCGCGAACGAAGAAGTAGCGGAGTTCGATGTGCTTGGAGCGGGCGTGATAGACGGGGTCCTGAGTGAGATGGATGGTGCTGGCGTTGTCGCACCAGAGAGTGGGGCACGTCTGGGGGGCGCCAAGCTCCGCAAGAAGGAAGCAGAGCCAGCGCGACTCCTGGGCGGCCATGGTGCCAGCGTAGAGCTCGGCTTCGCAGGTGGAGAGAGAGATGGCGGAGGAGCGGGTGGAGCGCCAGCTGATGAGGCCGCTGCCAAGGGTGAAGCCGTAGCCCTGGGAGGAGCGGCGGTCCGGCTGCGTGTCAGCCCATGAGGAGTCACTGAAGCCCGAGAGAAGGGGACGGGAAGGGCCGCCGAGGGTGAGGGCAAGGTCCCTGGTCCCGCGAAGGTAGCGGAGGACCCGCTTGGCAGCTTTCCAGTGCTCCTCAGAGCGACGACCGGTGCCGACAAAGCGAGCGAGCACGCTGATGGGGTAGGCGAGGTCGGGGCGGGTGCACATCATTGCGTACATCAAGGACCCAACGAGCTCGGCATAGGGGTGGGGGGAGGAGGTGGGGGAGGTGGGTGGAGCGAGTTGGTGACCGAAGGGGAGCGGGGTGGAAACAGGCTTGGCTTGCGCCATGTCGAACTTCTCCAAGACCTGGCCGATGTAATGGGACTGGGAGAGGGTGATTGTGCGAGCAGGGCGGTTGCGCGTGATGGTCATGCCGAGGTAGTGAGTGAGGGCGCCAAGGTCCTTGCACTTGAGCCGCTGCTGCAGGGACAGCTTCACCTGCTCCATGTCGGCCTTGGTGTCAGAGAGCAGGATCATGTCGTCGACATATACCAGAATGAAGAAGCGGCGGGGGGAGGAGCGGATGAAGAGGCTGGCGTCGGAGTGGGAAGCAGAGAAGCCGAGGGACCCCAAGGTGGCAGCCAGCTTCGCATGCCACTCACGCGGTGCCTGCTTCAAGCCGTAGACGGGGCGACGCAGCTGCCAGACAGTGTTCTCAGGAAAGGCTGCGTGGAACCCGGGGGGTCGCCGGAGGAAAATGCGCTCATGCAGGTCGCCCTGCAGGAACGCATTGGAGACGTCCATGGAGTCGATTTCCATGTCGTCACGTGCACCAATGTCCATGGCGGCGCGAAGGGTGGGTGGTTTGGCGGTGGGGGCGTAGGTGAACCAGTAGTCCTCAGCCCAAGTCTGCGTGAACCCCTTGGCGCAGTAGCGGGCCTTGTACACTGGTTCCTCGCCCGGCAGCTGCTTCACCCGAAAGACCCATTTGCCGTCAACGAGATTAGCGCCAGCAGGGAGGGGGACATCGACAAAGGAGTCGTTGCGAATGAAAGCCTCACACTCCAGGAAGATCGCTGCTATCCATTTATCCGCATCAGGGCAGGTGATGGCTTCCTGGAAGGTGGAGGGAGTGAAGATGGTGGGGGTAGTAGTGGCGCCAAGGACAGGAAAGCCCAGGAAGTCAAGGTAGAGGGCGGCAAGGAATGGAGTGTGCTCCCGAATGTTGAGGAACTCCTCATGGGAGTCCTCAAGGAGCTGAATGGAGGCAGGAGGAGGAGCCCCAAGGATTTTGTCCACCGAGCGGGTATGGATGTAAGGGAGGAGGAAGGGGGAGGAGCGGGAAGTGGCACGGCGCCGCTGCTGCTGCTGGTGCTGCTGCTGCTGCTGTCCCGGCTGCTGCTGATGCGGCTGCCCCGGCTGCTGCTGCTGCTGCTCCGGCTGCTGCTGCTGCTGCTGCTGCTGCTGCTGCTGCTGCTGCTGCCCCGGCTGCTGCTGCTGCTGCCCCTGCTGCCGTTGCTGGTGTTGCTCCCGCTGCTGCTGCCCCTGCTGTTGCTGATCCGGCTGCTGGAAAGGAGGAGAATGAGAGGAGGAGGGAGAGGGGGGAGGGGGTGCAGCTGAGTGAGCGGGGGAGGCGGGTGCGGCAGGGTCGTAGACGTCGGCAGAGGAGGAAGGCGGGAGTGGGGCGGCGACAGGTGGGAGGAGAGGCGCTGGAGGGATAAGAGGCGGGAGGATGGTGTCGGTCCAAGCGAGGGGGCGAGTGGGAGGAGGGAGGGGGTCAGGAGGAGGGGTGGAGTAGTAGGGAGTGGACTCGTCGAAGACGACGTCAATGCTGCGGATGAGGCGATTGGTGGGAGGGTGGAGGAATAGGTAGCCTGGGGAATCACGATTGTGCCCAAGGTAGACGCACTCCAGAGCGCGAGGAGCGAGCTTGCCAGCAGCGCGGGAGCGGTCGGCCGGTGGAATGAGGACGAACGCCTTGCAGCCCCAAACACGAAGGCCTGCGGCGTCAGGCTTGGCCTTGGACCAGAGTTCTGTGGGGGAGGAGGAGGGATACTGAGGGTGGGAGCGGAGATTGAGGAGGAGGGCGGCATGAATGAGGGCATAGCTCCAGAGGGAGGGAGGGGTGGAGGCGTGAGCAATGAGGCAGCGCGCAATCTTGGTGATCTCACGGATGCGACTCTAAGCGATGCCGTTTTGCTGAGGGGAGTGGGGAAGGGTGGTGGTCTGCTGAATGCCGTATGTTTTGCAGTAAGTGGAGAGAGTATGATTGATGAACTCACCCCCACCGTCAGAGTGAAGGCGGCCTATGGGACGTTTGAAGTGGTTGCGGCACTGCTCAGCCCAGTGGATGACCACAGCCGGCACCTGGTCTTTCGTGTGAAGAAAGAAGACGGTGGAGTACCGACTGTGGTCGTCGACGAGCACGAGCATGTACCTGTGCCCCTGACGGGAGCGGATGGGGTAAGGGCCCCAGAGATCCATGTGAACAAGTCAATGGGGGCGGGAGCGAAGGTGGGATGACTGTGATGGGGGGACTGTTTGAGCTTGCCATGAATGCATGATGGGCATGGGGGAGCAGGGGAGGGGGGGAGGGGAGGTAAGGTGGGAGGAAGGCTGTTAAGGAGGCGAGAGGTGACGGTGGAGCGAAGTGCGGCGAAGTTGGGATGGCCGAGTCTGTGATGTAGGAGCACTGCAGGATGGGAGAGGGCAGTAGAGGAGGAGGGGGATGGGGTGGGGGAAAAGTTGGGGGGGGAGGAGGAGGCGGATGGAGTAGAGGAGGAGGATATCGGAGGAGGGGGAGGGGGAGGGTGAGGGGGAGGGAGAAGGGGACCGGTGGAAGTACCAGCACGAGTGGTGACGTGACAAAAGGAGGGACGGGGTGTGCGGAGCGTGTAAAGGCGAGTGCGAGGGCAAAGGGGAATGCGCAGGAGGAAACGACCAGAGGCGGTGTGGTAGAGATCGCAGTAGGAAGCAAAGCCAGGGTATATGGCGGTAATGCCAACGCCTTGGAGTTCACGGTGGGAGAGGAGGTTATTGCGAAGGGTAGGGATGTGGAGACCGGTGACTGTACCGGATGGGAAGGCGGTGCAAGGAAGGGTGGAGAGGTGAGTGCAGGGGATGGAAAAGCTGGAGTCGGCACCATGAACCTGGGTGGGAAGTGGAAGGGGGGTGAGGGTGCCAGCGTCTTTTAGTGCGGTTTCGGTGGCCCCACTGTCAAGGACAAAGTCCAGGGTGGGGGGGGAAGGAGAGGGAGGGAACACAGAGTACTGGAGAGTTGTTTCATGGATAGAAGAGGGAGAGAGCGGCGGGTGCTGCTGCTGTAAGTACTGTTGCTGCTGCGGCTGCTGCGGTGGGAGAGACTGTGACGGTTGCGGCTGGAGAGATTGGGCTGCTGCTGCTGCTGGAAGCACCGCCGATGCTGCCGCGGTTGTTGCGGCTGGAGAGATTGTGGTGGCTGCTGCTGCTGGAAGCACTGCTGCTGCTGCGGATGGAGAGAACTGTGGCTGGTGCTGCTGCTGGAAGCACTGCTGCTGCTGCGGCTGAAGAAACTGTGGCTGCCGCTGCTGCTGGAAGGACTGCTGCTGCTGCGGCGGAAGGAACTGTGGCAGCTGCTGCTGCTGCGGCTGGAGAGACTGTGGCTGCTGCTGCTGCAGGAAGGACTGCTGCTGCTGCGGTGGAAGGAACTGTGGCAGCTGCTGCTGCTGGAAGGACTGCCGCTGCTGCGGCTGGAAGGACTGCTGCTGCTGGGGATGGAGAAACTGTGGCGGGTGAGGCTGGAGAGATTGCGGCTGCTGTTGGTGTTGGAAGAACTGCTGCTGCTGCGATTGCCGCGGCTGGAGGAGATGTGGGGGGTGTGGCTGGAGAAATTGTGGTTGCTGCCGCTGCTGATGCTGGAGCTGCTGGAAACGCCGTAGATGGGGAGGGGGGGAGGGGGTGAGCAGGCGGAGATAAGGGGGGGGGGAGGAGTGGAGGGTCGGAGTGTTGAGAAGGGAGGGGCGAGGAGTAACACTGCTCCAGTGAGGAGGGGGGAGAGGGGCAGGGGGGGTAGCAGTCATGATGGGCGACGGCGGGTGGACCCGCGGCGGCCAAGGGTGAAGTTGCTGCTGCGGAGGCTGCTGCACTTCCCCTGCTGCCGCTGCTGCTGCCGCTGGCAGGAGGAGGGAGGGGGGGGGGGGGGGGGGGGGGGGTAAAGGAGGGAGACAGCGGTGGAGGGCAGAGGCGTTCAAGGTGCAGGGAGCGACGGTGACAAGGGCGCAGGCGGCTGTGCGAACGTGCGGCGGCGGGAAGGGGAGGCGGTGGCAAAGTCGGGGGCGGCGGCGGCGAGCAGGCCGCGACGACGAGGGGCGCAGGCGACAGCGGAAGGGCCGCGGCGGCGAAACGAGGGACGGCGGCGGCAGGCAGGCCGCGGCAACGAGGGGCACAGGGGGAGGGGGAGGGGGGGGGAGAGGAGTAGGGAGAGGAGGAAGGGAGGGTGCAATTGCGGCTGAATCTGCAGGCGGCGACGGGGCAGTCACGGCGGCAGGAAGTGTGGGCGGGGATGGTGCGGTCGCGGTGGAGGATGGGCAGGCGGCGCCGAAGCAGTCGCGGCGGTAGGGCGGCGGCGGCGCAGTGGCGTTAACGGGAACCGCGGGGCGAAGATGTTGCAGTTGCGGCGGGGGAAATTGCGGGAGGGTGGCGATGCAGAAGGGGCAGCGAGATGCGTGGGTGACGCGGAAGCAGGTGCGGCGGTGGGAGGGGAGGCGGCAATGCGAAATCGCGGCGGGGGGGGGGGGGGGGGGGGGGTGGGGGCGGGGAGGTGACGACGAGCAGTCGCGGCGGCGGGACGGGCAGACGGCGCCGAAGCAGGCGCGGCGGCGGGAAGGGGAGGCGGCGACGTGACGTCGCGGCGGAGGGACGGGCAGGCGGCGACGAGGCGTCGCGGCGGCGGGATGCGCAGGCGGCGCCGAAGCAGGCGCGGCGGCGGGAACGCGGCGACGAGACGTCGCGGCGGAGGGACGGGCAGGCGGCGACGAGGTGTCGCGGCGGCAGGATGCGCAGGCGGCGCCGTAGCAGGCGCGGCGGCGGGAACGCGGCGACGAGACGTCGCGGCGGAGGGACGGGCAGGCGGCGACGAGGCGTCGCGGCGGCAGGATGCGCAGGCGGCGCCGAAGCAGGCGCGGCGGCGGGAACGCGGCGACGAGACGTCGCGGCGGAGGGACGGGCAGGCGGCGACGAGGCGTCGCGGCGGCAGGATGCGCAGGAGGCGCCGTAGCAGGCGCGGCGGCGGGAACGCGGCGACGTGACGTCGCGGCGGAGGGACGGGCAGCGGGCAGGCGGCGACGAGGCGTCGCGGCGGCAGGATGCGCAGGCGGCGCCGAATCAGGCGCGGCGGCGAGAAGGGGAGGCGGCGACAGGGGGTCGCGGCGGGGGGGAGGAGGGGACAGCGGCGTTGCGCTCGCGGCGGTGGAATCCGCAGGCGAGGAAGGCGTAATCGCGGCGGGAGGGGGGGGGAACGGCGGCGACGGCGTAGGTCGCGGCGAGAGTATGCTAGTGTAACTAGTTGAGCCACGCGTAGGAAAGGGTTTGTAGCTGTGGGGTGGGCCCATGGGAAAAAAAAAAAAAAAAACTGAAGGGAGGGAGAGGTAAGGCCTAGGAACAAGTAGCTCTATACCATGTGAAAGTAGCAAATTGAACAAGTGATTAGATTAGAGGAACAACCTAGCATACATAGTTCGAAGGGAAGGTTGGAAGGGAAGGATGAAAGTGACCATAGGTTGGGTTGACCTCACTTGGGGAAGTGAGGGAACCATAGGTCAAGTGGGTTGGGTTGCCCACACTTTGTAGAAGTGAGGCAACCCTAGGCCCACTTGGCTTGGGGTAACCTCAATTGTGGGAAGTGAGGTAACCACAAGTCAAGAGGGTTGCATTTGGGGGCTCCACCACAATTGGGTGGATTGGCACCCCAAAGTGCAAGACTACACCCAAAGTTGGGTGTAGTCCCAACCCAACTGTACACCACAATTGGTGTACAGTCACATGTGTTGGCATGCTACACAATATATAATTTAACAAGGGGGTGGGATTTAAGCAAAGCTTGCTTTCCAGCCTAAAAAAATTGTTATGAGACATCTCAGAAATCGAGTTGGGTTGTGTCAGGTGGTTCCGTTGCTCATGCCTACTCGTACGTCCCTGTTGCTCATGCCTACTCGTACGTCCCTGTTGCTAATGCCTACTCGTACGTCCCTGTTGCTCATGCCTACTCGTACGTCCCTGTTGCTCATGCCTACTCGTACGTCCCTGGTAAGGTCTTCAGCGTCTTACCTTCCTGTGAGGCCTTCGAAGGTTGTGTTGAGGATGGCTTGACGGAGTGCCGGGCCCACTGCATGGGGGAGGGAAGGAAGAATGTCGAGCGGGACCACGCGACGGAGGACAGAAAAGAAGGTAAACAGCAAAGAAACAAGAGAAAGAAAGAGATTGAGGCGTCTTAGGGAGGATAAGTGGGAAGACGAGGAAAATAGTGAAAGTTCTAAGAGAAGAGGGAGGGAAGGACAGAGGGTGCAGTGCAGGGGAGGGAGGGAGATAATAGAGAAGAGAACAATAGATGGAATACAATCAGACGCACAACGTACTGCCAACCTATCTAAGTTGCATCGCTTGTGTGGTGCCTCACAAGTAAGCACCCACCTGAGTTTCGCTGCAGGTTCTGCAGCAGCGGAATGAGCCCACCACCCGCCTCCGCCCCTTGCCCTGCCACCGGCAGTATCAAGGCACTGTTACTTGCAACAGCAGACATCGCAAAAAAGTGTGCTCCCGTGCTGCTGCTGCTGCTGCCATTGCTGCTGCTGCTGCCGCTGCTGCTGCCGCTGCTGCTGCCGCTGCTGCTGCTACTGTTGGCGGTGCTGGTGCTGGTGCGTTGCAGCAGGGAGTGCAGGGCAAGAGAGACGAGGTAAACAGCGTCATAGGCTGCGAGGCTGTAGGTCTTTGGGTCCTCTTCAGCCGCCCCTGGGAACTGCAGTGGACTCAGCTGCTTCCACCGCTGCTTGAAGGCTGACAGGCGTTGGGATGGCGGGTGATAGGACGCTGTGATGATCAAACCCTGGGAGAGGGGATTGGAGGTTTTGGAAAGCGAGGAGAGGAAACGAGAGGAAAAGAGAGGAGAGGAGAGGAGAGGAGAGGAGAGGAGAGGAGCGGAGAGGAGGGGGGGACAGATAGGAGGGCTGTGACTGTGAGATTCTGGTAGTTGAGGAGACTGGAACCCACTCGTGTAGGCTGCAAGGCTGTAGGCCTTGGGGTCCTCCTCTGCCGCCCCTGGGGGCTGCTGCGCGCTCAGCTGCTTGGAGGCCAACAGGCGTTGGGATGGCGGGTGGTAGTAGGAGGCTGTGATTATCAGACCCTGAGGGGGTGGGAAGAGGGGAGAGATGAGAGGGAAGGAGAGGAGGCGATGAGAGGGTGGGAGAGGGTTGCTCCTGGGAGAACTGCTGCGCGCTGAGTCGTGTTTTGAGTCAACTCAAAACAGGAGAGGAGGCGATGAGAGGGTGGGAGAGGGTTTCTCCTGGGAGAACTGCTGCGCGCTGAGCTGCTTCCACCACTGCTTGGAATGGAAGCTGACAGGTGCCGCGATGGCGGGTGATAGGACGCTGTGATCATCAGACCCTGGGGAGGGAGGAGGAGGGGAGGGAGTGGATGAGAGAAGAGGAGATGCGCCACGACGAGGGATGGTAGGACACTGTTGATTATGAGATGGCCCCTGGGGAAGGACGGTTGGGAGGGAGGAAGGGGGGTGTGTGAGGAAAGACGAGGAGAGGAGAGGAGAGAAGAGGAGAGGAGAGGCGAGGCGAGGCAAGGAGAGGAGAGGAGGGGAGAGAAGAGCAGAGGGGCAATGGGAAATCGAGTTTTAAGACATGTCTCAAAAGCCATGAGTGTACTCTACACTCTCATGCACCCTCTTACCTATCCCTTGGCCCTCTCACCCACCTCTGCACTCTGCAGTGTGGAAGTGTTGGCTTGAGCAGCCCCCTCCGATGCGATCCACACATAGTTCTTCCCTATCATGCCCAGCTTGCTCGCTGCGATAGTGGGAAGGGTGAAAAAGACTAAGGTATGCATGTGGAATCTGAATTCACTCCCATTAGCTTCCACACGTAGTTCGTCCCTATCATGCCCAGCTTGCTTGCTGCAATCAGAAGGAACGATGGTGGAGAAGTAAAGCAAATGCATGTCAGTCTTTTCCAGTCAAGCCATCATACATGATGTTCCAGGACCCCTCAGCCCCCTCCTTTTTAAGCGATCCACACGTAGCTCGTCCCGATCATGCCCTGCCTTTACTTTTGAGGCGCCTCAAAAACCGATCATGCCCTGCCTTTACTTTTGAGGCGCCTCAAAAACCGATCATGCCCTGCCTTTACTTTTGAGGCGCCTCAAAAACCGATCATGCCCTGCCTTTACTTTTGAGGCGCCTCAAAAACCGATCATGCCCTGCCTTTACTTTTGAGGCGCCTCAAAAACCGATCATGCCCTGCCTTTACTTTTGAGGCGCCTCAAAAACCGATCATGCCCTGCCTTTACTTTTGAGGCGCCTCAAAAACCGATCATGCCCTGCCTTTACTTTTGAGGCGCCTCAAAAACCGATCATGCCCTGCCTTTACTTTTGAGGCGCCTCAAAAACCGATCATGCCCTGCCTTTACTTTTGAGGCGCCTCAAAAACCGATCATGCCCTGCCTTTACTTTTGAGGCGCCTCAAAAACCGATCATGCCCTGCCTTTACTTTTGAGGCGCCTCAAAAACCGATCATGCCCTGCCTTTACTTTTGAGGCGCCTCAAAAACCGATCATGCCCTGCCTTTACTTTTGAGGCGCCTCAAAAACCGATCATGCCCTGCCTTTACTTTTGAGGCGCCTCAAAAACCGATCATGCCCTGCCTTTACTTTTGAGGCGCCTCAAAAACCGATCATGCCCTGCCTTTACTTTTGAGGCGCCTCAAAAACCGATCATGCCCTGCCTTTACTTTTGAGGCGCCTCAAAAACCGATCATGCCCTGCCTTTACTTTTGAGGCGCCTCAAAAACCGATCATGCCCTGCCTTTACTTTTGAGGCGCCTCAAAAACCGATCATGCCCTGCCTTTACTTTTGAGGCGCCTCAAAAACCGATCATGCCCTGCCTTTACTTTTGAGGCGCCTCAAAAACCGATCATGCCCTGCCTTTACTTTTGAGGCGCCTCAAAAACCGATCATGCCCTGCCTTTACTTTTGAGGCGCCTCAAAAACCGATCATGCCCTGCCTTTACTTTTGAGGCGCCTCAAAAACCGATCATGCCCTGCCTTTACTTTTGAGGCGCCTCAAAAACCGATCATGCCCTGCCTTTACTTTTGAGGCGCCTCAAAAACCGATCATGCCCTGCCTTTACTTTTGAGGCGCCTCAAAAACCGATCATGCCCTGCCTTTACTTTTGAGGCGCCTCAAAAACCGATCATGCCCTGCCTTTACTTTTGAGGCGCCTCAAAAACCGATCATGCCCTGCCTTTACTTTTGAGGCGCCTCAAAAACCGATCATGCCCTGCCTTTACTTTTGAGGCGCCTCAAAAACCGATCATGCCCTGCCTTTACTTTTGAGGCGCCTCAAAAACCGATCATGCCCTGCCTTTACTTTTGAGGCGCCTCAAAAACCGATCATGCCCTGCCTTTACTTTTGAGGCGCCTCAAAAACCGATCATGCCCTGCCTTTACTTTTGAGGCGCCTCAAAAACCGATCATGCCCTGCCTTTACTTTTGAGGCGCCTCAAAAACCGATCATGCCCTGCCTTTACTTTTGAGGCGCCTCAAAAACCGATCATGCCCTGCCTTTACTTTTGAGGCGCCTCAAAAACCGATCATGCCCTGCCTTTACTTTTGAGGCGCCTCAAAAACCGATCATGCCCTGCCTTTACTTTTGAGGCGCCTCAAAAACCGATCATGCCCTGCCTTTACTTTTGAGGCGCCTCAAAAACCGATCATGCCCTGCCTTTACTTTTGAGGCGCCTCAAAAACCGATCATGCCCTGCCTTTACTTTTGAGGCGCCTCAAAAACCGATCATGCCCTGCCTTTACTTTTGAGGCGCCTCAAAAACCGATCATGCCCTGCCTTTACTTTTGAGGCGCCTCAAAAACCGATCATGCCCTGCCTTTACTTTTGAGGCGCCTCAAAAACCGATCATGCCCTGCCTTTACTTTTGAGGCGCCTCAAAAACCGATCATGCCCTGCCTTTACTTTTGAGGCGCCTCAAAAACCGATCATGCCCTGCCTTTACTTTTGAGGCGCCTCAAAAACCGATCATGCCCTGCCTTTACTTTTGAGGCGCCTCAAAAACCGATCATGCCCTGCCTTTACTTTTGAGGCGCCTCAAAAACCGATCATGCCCTGCCTTTACTTTTGAGGCGCCTCAAAAACCGATCATGCCCTGGCATGCTCGCTGTGATAGAGGGAACGATGGGGGTGAAGCAGCCACAAATAAAAAACCTGTTATCTTGACCATATGCTACAAGAGAAAGGGAACTCAGATTTGTTGTTCTGTTACTGGCCCTTCCAAAATGTTATCCACAAAATGTTTCACACATATCGAGTGTACCTGTATCGAGTATGAGAGCAGACATGGTGGAGGACGCGTGCAGCACGTAGACAGAAGAGTCCACTGCCCTGCTGGCAGCCAGGGCTTGTGCCACGTCATCAGCTGTCCACGTGGACTTGACAGGCACCCTCTGGGCAATGTGCACATACGACGCCTTTCAAATGTATGGGTAGGGGTGGGGATATGGATAGGTTGAGGGGGAGAGGGTGGTTGGAGGGTGAATGGGTAGGGGGACCCGGGGAGGGGAGAAACTGCGATCAAGCGAGTGTGCAAGCGAATGGGTGCGAGTGTGAGTGTAAATGAGAAACTGCGATCAAGCGAGTGTGAATGATTGTGAGTGGATGGTGATCAAGCGAGTGTGAATGATTGTGAGTGGATGGTGATCAAGCGAGTGTGAATGATTGTGAGTGGATGGTGATCAAGCGAATGAGCAAGCGAGTGTTCAAGTGCGTGTGCTGGTGAGTGAGTGTGCACCTTCTGTGCGAGCAGGTAGGTCATGAGCGCCGTGATGCCGTTGCGACCAAAGCAGTGCCATTTTGAGTCGAGTTTTGAGACGTCTCAAAACCAAAGCAGTGCCATTTTGAGTCGAGTTTTGAGACGTCTCAAAACCAAAGCAGTGCCATTTTGAGTCGAGTCTTGAGACGTCTCAAAACCAAAGCAGTGCCATTTTTTTACTCGAGTTTTGAGACGTCTCAAAACCAAAGCAGTGCCATTTTGAGTCGAGTTTTGAGACGTCTCAAAACCAAAGCAAGTGCAAGTGAGTACGCAAGTGTGTGTGAGTGTGAGTGTGTGTGTGTGTGAGTGTGAGTGTGAGTGTGTGTGAGTGTGAGTGTGTGAGTGTGAGTGTGAGTGTGAGTGTGTGAGTGTGAGTGTGTGTGAGTGTGAGTGTGTGTGAGTGTGAGTGTGAGTGTGAGTGAGTGTGAGTGTGAGTGAGTGTGAGTGTGTGGTGAGTGTGAGTGTGTGTGAGTGTGAGTGAGTGTGAGTGTGTGTGAGTGTGAGTGTGTGTGAGTGTGAGTGTGTGTGAGTGTGTGTGAGTGTGAGTGTGAGTGTGTGTGAGTGTGAGTGTGAGTGTGTGTGAGTGTGAGTGTGAGTGTGTGTGAGTGTGAGTGTGAGTGTGTGTGAGTGTGAGTGTGAGTGTGTGTGAGTGTGAGTGTGAGTGTGTGTGAGTGTGAGTGTGAGTGTGCACCTTCTTTTCGAGCAGGTAAGTCATGAGCGCCGTAATGCCATTGCGGCCAAAGCGGTTATCCGTGTAAACAGCCACGAACTGCCTCCACTTGTAGCGCAGAAGCAGCGCTGGAGGACCGAGACACGGACAGAGGGGAGAGAGGGGAGAGAGGGATACACACACACATAGAGACATCTTGAACGTGTACACTACCACGCAGACTACCTCCACTTGTAGCGCTGCAGCAACGCTGCCGCAGTGGGATGTGGAGAGTGAGAGAGACGTGTTGAGAGAGAAAACAGCACAGAGGGGAGGACCTTTGAGAATTCTCAAAAGTGAGAGAGACGTGTTGAGAGAGAAAGCGGTACAGAGAGGAGGACCTTTGAAAGTAGATGCAACCATATACAGTGGAGCAAGGTTCAAAAATACGACCGTATTTTTGAAATTGCTGTACGATTTCTCACAGGAGCGGGAGCCTATTATAAGAAACCGTATAAAACGGTAACATCTCAAAAATACGACCGTAATTTTGAACCTTGCAGTGGAGGGTGACTCAAAGAAGAAGCAACCATAGGTTCCTGTTGTGGTGGGTGGCTTTCAACTGCAACTGCAGGTTACCTTAGCTGCACATGGTTTCCTACCGGCTATGGCTTGCATGTCCACGCCATCGTTGGGACTGGTCGCATGAAGAACGGCTGAGCAAGCATCCCCCACTGTACCTAATTGCACACCACTGTACCTAATTGCACACCACTGTACCTAATTGCACACCACTGTACCTAATTGCACACCACTGTACCTAATTGCACACCACTGTACCTAATTGCACACCACTGTACCTAATTGCACACCACTGTACCTAATTGCACACCACTGTACCTAATTGCACACCACTGTACCTAATTGCACACCACTGTACCTAATTGCACACCACTGTACCTAATTGCACACCACTGTACCTAATTGCACACCACTGTACCTAATTGCACACCACTGTACCTAATTGCACACCACTGTACCTAATTGCACACCACTGTACCTAATTGCACACCACTGTACCTAATTGCACACCACTGTACCTAATTGCACACCACTGTACCTAATTGCACACCACTGTACCTAATTGCACACCACTGTACCTAATTGCACACCACTGTACCTAATTGCACACCACTGTACCTAATTGCACACCACTGTACCTAATTGCACACCACTGTACCTAATTGCACACCACTGTACCTAATTGCACACCACTGTACCTAATTGCACACCACTGTACCTAATTGCACACCACTGTACCTAATTGCACACCACTGTACCTAATTGCACACCACTGTA